CTTTGTTCCGCGTCGATTCATTATTTTAAATATTATAATTCACCTTTAATAAATCGAAGCAATGCCTTGATTACGATTAAGCTACACTTTTATTTTTATATAAGTACTCGCTCCTTTTCTTTTTCTTTTCTTTTTTTCATTATCACTACAACTACTTTTTATTCAACTTCTCAACTTTAACCTCAACACTTAACTTCTTAATACACTTAACTTCCCAACCTCAACCTCAACACCTAACTTCAACTTCTTAACCTTAACACTCAACTTCTCAACCTTAATACTCAACTTCTCAACCTCAATACTTAATTACAACCACATTCAACTTAGGTAATTATTTTCCTTTTGATTCCTTGCTTTTTGATTCTTTGCTTCAAGCTAATTATTTTCTTTATTTAGCAATGTCGATTCCCTTCCTTTATAACGCTATAATCGAAGTCAACCCTTTTAACACCGATAGCAACAAGCTAATCAACGAGATACTTAATCGCTATAAAGATTTCGTAGTCGTTTATGCTAATAGTAACGTTGTTAATTCAATATTTACTTGCTATAACGAAAAGGATACCGCTTTGTTTCTAAAACTAATCGGCCTCGATTACGAATAAAAAGGTCGCAAAGGTTTTATCGACGAATTCGGCATCAAGCACTACGGTGCTAATAAAGTTAATAATAATATTTATATACTATAATCACTAATTGATTTTTTATTTAAAAAGAAAGCGCTTAAGTCTTTTGTCTTTTCGACTACTTTATCTCTTTCTTTAACTTAATTAGAAAGCAATTTATTTATAAAGATGTTAAGGTTCGATTGATCTTAAGTAATCTTACTCTTAAGCTTTTCGATAACGATTATGCCGAAGCTAAAAGCATCTTAAAAGAGCTATTAATGCTATACCCCTTCACTATCGATAGCACTTTAGCATACAAACGCTTCACCTTCAAGTTCTCGAATAAAAATAAATTTAAGTGAAGCAATAAGTGCTAAAAGCTAAAAGAGCTATTTAAGTCAGACGAGATTTATTTAAACTATGCTTACAAGCAAGAACTTAGGTTAAAAGCGGAAACCGAGTTAAACGTATTCTACGTAACTGCAAAAGGACGAGTCTTTATCAACTCTTTATAACTAATAAACTTAGGCTAAAGAACGGGTCTTTACTAACCCTTAGGCTTTTGTAACTAGTAAATTTAACTAATACTTTAAGTCTTTGATTAGTAAATGTGATTAGTAAATGTGATTAGTAAATGTAATTAATAAATGTAATTAGTAAATGTGATTAATAAATGTAATTAGTAAATGTGATTAATAAACCTAATTAATAATTATACATATGCATATTTTTATATATATAAACCTTATAGAGTAACCTTACGCCTTATAGGGTTTCCTTATAAGGAGGGGCAGAATTTTGTAACCCCCGTGGGTTCCCCCGTGGGAAGGACTCAAAACTCCGTGGGGCCCCATAGGGCCCCATGGAGCAGCCTATACAAGTAACTTGCGTAAGGCTGCTATACGTAACTTACGTAAAGCTGCTACACGTAACGCACGTCGCTGCTTTACGTCGCTGCCTTACGTCGCTGCCTTACGTAATACGTAAAGCAGCTAAGCTGCTACACGTACTCTACGTAAGGCTGCCATACTTAAAGCACGCTGCTGCTTTAAATATAAGTGATTCGCAAAAAAGTTTAAGATTTCCTTATTAAAAAAAGGGGTTTAAAAGGGTCTCCTCTTTATATTGAAATATTAAATATTAGCAATTCGCAAAGAGGTCTAAAGTTTCTTTAGTCAAAAGGGGGATTCAAAAAGAGCCCTTTTTTATAATAATTTATTAAAATATAAGTGATTCGCAAAAGGTTTTAGGATTTCTTTATTAAAAAGGAAGGTCTAAGGAAGTCTCCTTCTTATAATAAATTATTAAATATAAGTAATTCGCAAAATGATATAGTATTTCCTTAATATAAATAAGGGTTTAAAGGGGTCTCCTTCTTATAATAAATTATTAAATATAAGTAATGCGTGGAAAGGTATGAGATTTCTTTAGTAAAAAAAGGGTTTAAGGGGGTCCTTTCTTTTATATTGAATTATTAAATGTAAGCAATTCGCAAAGGGGTCTAGAATATCTTTAGTAAAAAGAAGACTTTGCAAGGATTCCTTTTTTATAATAAATTATTAAAATATAAGTAATTCGTAAAGGGGTTCAGGTCTCTTCGATAAAAAGAAGGTTTTAAAAAGATTTCTTTTTTATAATTAATTATTAAATAAATTATTCCTTGCGTTAATTACTTTTATATTTATTTAGTTTCTATTATTTTTTATTTTTTATTTTTTAATTTACTTAAATATATAAAGATATTAATAAATCGAGTAATTAGCCTGTTGGTGACACTACAAAGAACTTGGTCCTTTGCCCTGGTAAGCTAAGGATATTACAAGCTATTACGCATAATAATTATTAAAAAACCGAATTTGCGTTTCGTTTATGCTTTAAATTCTTTTAGCACTTTTATAACCGTTAATTGCAACTTATCTTTTAATATAAAGCCGAATAGCTTTTTATTGTATTTATTTTTAATTATTAATAATTATTTGCTTTCGTTAAAACCGTTAAAGAAATCGAATAAATCTTAAGCGATCTTATAAAATAGCTTAATTGCTTTATTATTTAACGTACGACGAGATATGACTTGTTAAGCGTGCGTAAAAGCGCATGCTTTATATTCAACTTTAATAATTCTTTTAAGTCTTATCTTTTTAACGTTGTAAGCTAACGCTTCGAGCGCTTTTTAATTAAGATAACTTGTCCGTAAATACTAAAGTATCGATAAATCTTTTTTTAAAACTCGAAAGACATTGCTTTTTTAAAATTTATAGCGTATTCATAAGCGCTTTTAAATTGTAAAAAACATTATTAAGCAAAAAAAGCTACGAATCAATTAAAGTAAAAAATAATTAAATAGCTTGTATTTAAAAAACGTAAAGTTGAACTTCCTTTTTAACTTTTTTAATACAACGCTCTTTTTAATTTCTTTATAACGGAGAGTTGCGTTATATCTCGAGTATTATACGCTATCTTTGCTTAAAAGAGCTTTCGAAATGACGTTCTTTAACTTTAAATCCTTTGTTTTAGCTTTATTTAGTCCGTTTAAAGCTCTTTTAAAAATTCTAATCTTTCGCTTAACGATTAAAAGACTACTCGTTTTAGCTTCGATAAAGTCGGTTAAGCGAAAGCGTTGAATTAACTTTAATATAAAGAGATTCTTATCCTTAACAAAGTAAATAACGCCGTAATTATCGAAAAGAGTACTATTAAATAACTAATGCTTATTATTAGTCGTGTTATAAAAACCGTTAAAGACAAGATTATCGAGCGTGCTAAAGAGCTTAAGATCGATAATAACTATTAATACTTTTTTAAAGTATTTTAATTTATCACTATCATTCGATTGCTTCTCTTTGCTTTTTAAAACGATCTTATCGACTTGAATTTATGCTTAACTTTCTTTAATAATCTCTTTTCGGAGCGCTTTAAACTTAAGCTTTTAAAGCTTTTTTTTTATAGCGACGATATCATTTCGTATTAGCTTTAAAAAGCTATCTTCGTCAAAACCGTTAAAATAATAGCAAAAGACTTTGCATTTGATTGCATCTTAATAGTGCGTTCTCTTTTTAAGACACGAGTACTTAAAACTTTTAGCAAGTCTTTTAAAGCTATCGAAACGTTTATTAGACTGCTTAAAAGCAGTATCGTTAGTTTTATTACTTTTAAAAGTACTGCGAGTAGTTTAGTCTTCGAAAGTAACGAATATATTAAAAAATTTAAAGCTCGGATTATTAATCTTTTCGTTAACTTAGCTTTCGTATTAGTTAAAGTAATCGTGCAAAGTTCGCTTTTGAAGCTTTAATAGCTCGTCGTTTCAAATGACTTTTGCGAGCTTTAACGACGCTTAAGTTAATAATCATTTTTCGCTAATAGCTTTAAGAACGCTTTTATCGCGAGTGTGCTCGTCGTTTCGTAAAAGTCGTTTATCTTCGCTAACTTATAAATAGCTCGATGCTTTTTAATTTAGACCGTTAAAAAGACGCTCTTTTATTTAGCTATTTGCAAAGATTTATTATAATCTCGTATTATCGATAGCTTAAAGCTCGAATCGAATAAACGGTATATTTCTTAAAGATTTTCTATTAAGAATTAAATAAAAGTATTGTTCGCTTTTATAGCCGCTAAGATCGCTTCTTCGAGAATAAAACTCTTAACCGTTTATTTGATCTAGTTTATGATTTAATTGCTTTTGCTACTTAAGATCTTTTAATTAACGATTACGAAATTGTATTCTTTTATATTATCGTTATACGCCTTTCGAACGTCTTCGAACTTAGCGTCGCGTGGTCGTTAAAGTCTATTAAGATCGTTTGCAAAAGCTCTTAAGTGTTATTCATTTTAAGTCTTGCGTTCGCGTTTTTAATTTTAATAAAAGTCGTTATTAAGCTTTATTATTATCTTCGTAGCAAACTTTGTTTTTAATCTAATCTACTCGATAAAAAGAGCAAGTTTTTTTACGCTAATACGAAAAGCTGCGTATTATTTTATATTAAAGCACTTGATAAAGTATTTGTAATTCGTAATCCATCTTAAGTAATCGTTACGACTTATAAAGTTCGTCTTGTTGATTATAAGAACCTCTTTTATCTTGTCGTCTATTATTATAGCAATTGATTTTATAATTAAAGCTTTTAAAAATTAGTTAAAGTTCTTAAAGGTAATAAGTATTAATTGTAAAGAATACATATAATTGAAAAAGATAAATTGCAAAAAAGAAAATTATAATAAAGTAACGTAAAAGTGACTTGTAAAATCCGCTCCCGATTAATTCGGAGGTTATTAAAGACTAATTGAATAGCTCGTGAGTGCGAATATAGCTTTTAATTATAATGCTTATTAACATTAAGATCAAAAAGAGATTCTGCTGATTAAATAAAGCTTAGTATATTCTATTTAAAAAGCTCGTTAAAATCTATATACATATACTTAAGAGCTCTAGTATGCTAAGGGCGCTACTAGGCGAGGTCACATGACATATCACATGTAGCTTGGGTAGAACCTTAGGTATGCTTGTTCCGCACAACAGGTTTTTTTAAAAAAAAGCCCTTTATCGGCCAAGACCCTATGGAAGGAATGGGGAGGAAAACCTTATGGGGCCCCCACCCTATAGAGCAGCCTATTTAAATCATTTATTTTCAAATTCTATTTAATCTTAAGTATCGACTTAAAGTGATTCATTAATTATGCTAACCTCTTAAGATTGTCTTTTAAAGAGACCGTTATCAGATTATTAGCTGACGGTTTAAATAACCCCTTATCTGCCTTTAAGCCTTAAGGTAATACTCCGCCGACCAAAGGTACGATTAGCCGAGAAGCTTAGCGTGCGTAATAAAAACATAAAGATTATAATAACAGAACCTGGCGAATTATTGTATTCGGTGATTTCAAAACCAAAGCCTTTATTTTTTAGCTTATCTATACCATTTATTGTCTTCTTCTTAAAAGCTTTTTTTTTCGCTCTTAGATCGTAATAATGTAGACGTCAAACCAATCAGCCAATTCTTGCATGCTGAAGTTGCTATTCTCGAAGATAGCGAAGTCGATCTGCTGTTCGTCCAGCTTACTAATCCTCGGAGCTATACGTTAATATACGAATTAGAAAATAGGTGAGAATCGCTTCATTTTCTAGTATCTACTTATTAAATCCAAGGTATGGTCATTGTATTATTCGATTATTTCTATCTGATATATACTATTCGGTAAGGGTGCGCGCTAAAAAGTGATGCGCAACGGAAAATCGGCCGAAATTTCCGGAAAAAGCGCTGAACTTACAAGGTGCAGTATAAAATCTTGACCTACCTAACATAAGGGACAGAGACAGTCTTTTAGAACTGGGCCTGATTTCAAAGACAATGCCAAACTGCCTCTAGTAATCTATCTCGGGCACCTATTCCGACCGATCTTGCATCCTGTGATCTGGTTTAAGTAAATCCCTCAACCATCCAGTCATGACATCGGCCACTCACTGACTCGATCAGCGAGCTACGAGTTCCAAAATCACCAGCGCCTTTTTCTTTAGGGAACCACACCCAACCATCATCATGTCCGCCTTCATCACCGACCTCATACAATCCATCTTTACGCCGGGGCCAACCCCAAGCCTAATTGTTGCGACAAACGTCGCATTCGCAAGTCTGCAAGTGGTGCTACTGTTCCTACTCTTCGCGACATTCAGCATCCACTTCGTCATCCTCTCCTTCTTGAGCGCAGGGCTTTGGTGGTCAATAAACTGGTTCGTCAGCGAGTTGAAGGCAGCGCAAGCACTGCAGGATGAGAAGAACAGCAAGAAGAAGAGTTCCAAAGATGTTGGGCAGGGTGCAGAGAGTGACACGGATGCTGAGACGGTCATCGATACGGGCAATACAATGCCTGGTAGCAAGGAGACGGAGATCATGGAGCCGCGTGGGGAGCTCAAGGATCGTGGGAACGTGACGCGCAGCCGGTCAGAGATCAGCACGGAAGACGAGTGGGAAAGGGTGTCAGAAATCGAGAAGGACAAGTGAGATAGGTACCGGTAGATGTGGTTTACTTGGCAGGCTACGGAAGGGAGGTGGTGGTGTTTTATCATTATACCCAAATGCGGTTCCGATGTCAACAGTTCACCTCCCCAAGTCCGGACTCCCTCTGCTCTTGAACTTTCTTCGGTTGGTGTTCACCAGGCGCCACAAATCCGTTCGAAGTCCATGTTGATAGCTTCAGAGACGGTGGAGTCGCTCTGGGCGGGTCTGATCTGAATGAAAGACAGTGCCCAAGGTCCGGGGCCTTGTATTAAATTCAAATTTTCACTTTGTAAACTGTGACATGAACAATCCTAACCCATTCCCTCCCTCATCCCATCTCGTCCGCCGCATCATGTCTAGTCTAGGGACAAGATATAGTCACGTGATATCCGTCCAAAATTTCGAAGCGACGATATTTGGGTGAGCGGTCGAAGTCATCGGCCACAAACCCTCTTTCGCCACGAGGAACAGAACAAAGCGCCGAGTCAACAATTCAGGATCTCCAAGATGAAGCTCGTCAGGTAAGCGATTCCCCCTACAGCTTCTATGCGCCACAAGCTGAGCTCTCTCCCTGCAAGGCCCCGATGCGAAGCTCCTGACTGACTTTGCTGCGTTGGTAGATTCCTGATGAAATGTGCGAACGAGACGGTTACGATCGAGCTCAAAAACGGTGAGTTTCGCTTTGCACAGGCGCTTTTCCCCGCTCAGTGGTCGTAGGAACGATAATTCACGGCACCATCACATCAGTCTCACCTCAGATGAACACGGCGCTGCGCACAGTAAAGATGACTCAACGTGGCCGCGACCCTATCTCTCTCGACACCATCAATCTGCGAGGATCGACCATCAGATACTACATCCTCCCGGACTCTTTGCCGTTGGATACTCTCCTGATCGATGATGCGCCGAAGCCCAAGAATAAAGCCAGAAAGGAGGTTGCAGACAGAGGCGGTGCCAGAGGCGGACGAGGTCGCGGGGGGCCAAGAGGTCGTGGCGGATTCAGAGGAGGACGTGGAAGGGGTGGCGGCAGAGGCTTCTAGAGGGTGGATGGGAAGCGGGAGTAAGAAGGGCCGGACTGATGACTGACGCGACAAGCAACAGCGGCTTATACAAATTACTGCTCATGATTGCATGGGGACTCTGGTTTCTACCATGTCACGGATGACTTGTGGGTATTCTGGCGTTTGTGGTCAAAACAACGAAGCAATCGACACTTCATAGAGGACAGAGCTGGATTTCATATTTTGATTCATTTCGTTACTCTACGCGCGCCGTTGGTATACGACATATCCTGATGATTTGGAGCTTCTCCCATCCAGCTTGCTTCCCACTGCTTCCCACCCTTTCTACTCTCCATCCACTTCCCCAGTTTCTGATCCTCTGCTGCACCTTTTCCGGTTGATTTTGAGCACACAGTAAGACGTAGGCACAGCCTCGTTTCGCATGCAGGACACTGTCCAGAGTTTCCAGCAGGCGATCGGTTGTTTCCATTCCATCTGTACCTCCGGCATAGGACAGAGCCAGCAGATGCGAGTCGTTGTCGTGAGATGAAACTTTCGAGCTCGACTCCTCCGGTAGGCTAGGCAGCTCTGCAGTCGGTACGTATGGTGGATTGAAGACCAAAACATCAATTTCTCGGGGCTTCAGTGACAGAGCGAGGTCTCCGATGGCATTACCCAAGTAGAAGCCATGGGACACGCCCTGGGCCGAATGCTCGGTTTCCACCACTCTAACTGTTTGCTCGGTTGCCTTGCAGGCGAAACGGTTCACATCAACACCAAACGTGAGTATATCAGAGCGTCCAAGGATTGTCTCTGCGTGTGCGTGGAGGAAAGCGAGCACAACGCCAGATCCAATTCCGATTTCAACCACGAGCGGCGCCGGCGAGGGAGATCCGCCAGCGTTTGGGTTGTCCTGGAAGCGCTCGTGGAGGAAGGCCTTCTCGGTATCGGAAGAAAGAGTGTCAAGCAATAGGTATGAGTCCTCAGCCGGTTCATATACTCTATCGAATGCCACATGTGAGGTGGATGGTGTTGGAAGCATTTTGAGGTCGAGCCCAAGGTTGAGGTCGAAGTCGAGACAAAGACGAGGACAATACCAACGTCGAGGTGTAGAAGACTTTAGAGTACTTAATAAGGGGAGAAGCATGCAAGGCTGACTTGGGTTTCTCGTTGCCTTGTCTTCCGCACCGGGCCGAGCCGAGGTCCAGGCGTCATCCATCGATCGCGAAGAAACACGAAGAGCACTATTGTGAAATCAACACCGCAACACGATACAGCACAACTCCTCACGACCTATCATGAGAATAAACCCACGACTTCTGATGGCCTCTTCCACAACGGTGGCGTCTGTGAAGGGCTTCAAACCAGTCCCAATGGCTTTGCTGCCACCCATACAACTCTACAGGAGACTGCTCCGTACACATCGCAAGCATCTGCCCAAAGACATGCGGCTGCTCGGAGATGAATATGTCAAGAGCGAATTCAGGGCTCACAGGAATGTCGAGAATCCAGTGCACATTGTGAGTAAAGAACGGGGAGGCCAGGCCGAAGCCCGCTGACATCTTCAGATCGGGTTCTTGACAGAGTGGCAAATGTATGCTCAGACTCTAGAGGGCGAATCTTGGGCTGGGGAGCGGATGGACCCTTCGAAGATTGAGAAGATGAGTGGTGGGTCTTCCCTCAGGAGTCGGTCAGCTGGCTTTTCTTTTCTGACATGTCTCGACTTAAGACCAACAGCTTGGGCAATTGTACGAGCTCATGCAGGCGATACGGAAGAAGGAAATCGAGGATGACGAGCTGGATCAATAATCGCCCAGGAGATTCCAAGATTGAGGTAGAAGTATACTTGCCACGAAGAGGAATCACCACAAATCCGGCAATTGGGATGATGACTTGTTTACGAACCCCTATATGGTAACGGACCATTTCAAGCGGAGATTTGCCTGCACAACACCCACAGACTGCTGGGTTTGTGGGGAAATGAGGCCTCGCAACAATGGCTCTAGCTATCTATCTATACGTCCGCTGTCAGCAATGGCTATTGTAGAGTCGAAGCGATCCACGCCATGGTGGGCATCGAGACTTGAATGCCAGGTCTGTGTTTCTTTTCCGATTTCCTTCATAGGGCTGCTTATTGTTTTCTGCTTCTATCTAGCAGCAAGCCAACTTCAGTTATTCGACCGGTCACTTTATCCATCGTTCACGCGAAAAAAAAAAAAGGATCGTAATGCGGACATAGTATGCTTGATAGTTGATAACTTGCAATTTCAATATTCAATAACATGGCGCTCCATCAGGCTCTCTACACTCGCTTACTCGGCATCCAGTGGGCACACAGGAGGCTGGTCATTAACTTGAATACCGCCTCTCTTCTTCTCCGCGGAGTCGTGGAATGGCAATTTCCATCCACCTTCGCTCTCTGGCGTCGCAAGCCACAATCGCATCAAGTGTCTCCTCGGTGTCGGCGGAGCATGGTCCTTGTACTCAGTTCTCGCATGGAGTACATGCTCGTTGCTCAAGAACTGGATATCCCCGACCTCGAGGACCATATGTAGTCTCAGTCGATGACAGGTTTCCTCCAGCACTTTGGCAGCCTCAACTTGCTCTGGCGACAGCTGAGGAATGATCCCAGCATCCATGAAGCGACCCAAACTCTTCACATAGTACGGGTCCCACTTGCTGTACACTCTCCCGTTCTCCCCTGTTTCCAGGTAGAAGACTGATGTTTTGATATAAGGGTCTTCACCGACGCTCGTCTCTCCTTTCCGATCGAAGTACCAAATTGGCTTTGTCAATGTTTCGGCAACGTCAGGACGTTCTTTTTGAAGGGTGTTCCATACGTGGTGGGAGGACACGATGTCTGACTCGCCGCCTTCTAGCGCGCGGGCAATGCAGAGCAAACCCACTATATCGGAATCATCTGCGTGGAAGAATTGGCTGTATCTCATCGTAAGCGACAATGGGTTCGCATGTTCGGGGATTATACGAAAGACCTACCGAGCATTCGTCCTGTAAATACGGACTCGGTGTATTTGTGATGGATCGTCACCCACATCTTTCACATGGCCCAAAACATGACCTCGGCCGTTTTGGCTAACGAAGTAGCCAAGTTGAGTGCCGAGGCCCATGTACGCAACGGCAGACTTATGGTTGCCCCATTTCTCCACGGGGAAGCCTTTCAACAAGATGAACCCCTTGCCATTGAGGATTTCCGCACGGATAGATCTCAACAAGATGGAAAGTTTGGGGATGAGGAAATTATCCTAACGAACCCGTCAGTCAGTCATCCGCATTCAGGGACAAACAAATACGCGGGCGTGCCGACTTTTGAGATGCCAGTCAAGGGGGTCTGGTCCGCGATGAACTTGTCCGAGGCAGCACTAAGCTCTGCGATTTCTTCGTCATTGAAAACGTGGACCGATCTTTCCGGGTTGTTTATGTAGTCCTCTGCTCTCCAGACCGACTCTCCGGAAATCTCCTTGGGGAAAGCCGAGTATGGCTTGATCTGGTCATAGAGGGGAGGGTGTTGGCCCGAGGTCTTGATGCCGTCAGGGAAAATCTTTCTATCAACTGCTTTTTGGGTTTGAGAAGAGCGTGACAGCTGGTGAGGTGCCGTCGGCTGGCTGTCGAGAAGAGAAGTTGGGGCCATGATGTTGCAACTTTTCCGGTGATGACAATGGATGGAAATGGAGTTTCAAGAATGATGAAGGATAACCGCCTCTTATGCTTCAAGGCGTACCGCGGGCATGACTTATATTTTCTCGACCAGATCTGATACAAGCCGATCGTTTAGGGGGCGATGAGCTGATGCCGATGGTGGATTGCGTGCTTTTGGGGAGAGTTGTCACCATCCGCCGGGCGGCGGCCCTGATGATGATACGGTCGCCTATTGAGTATACCATACCCTAGACTACCATACCGTAGACTTAACAGCTATGTACGGACCGTGTAAACATCCTGTACGTGGGGTTGAGAGAGAAGAGGCCGTAGTTTAGAGTTTCCGCCTTTCCGCCGACCCGGCTCTCTGGAATAGCCTAAGTACTGCGTACCTCCCTACCTATCTTGCATACCTTCCTACAGAGTCCTACAGAGTAGGTACCTAACGTGCCATAGAGAGAAGTCCTTAGAGAGAAGTCCTTAGAGAGAAATCCTTACAGTAGAGAGAAGTCCTTAGTAAGAAGTCCTTAGAGAGAAGTCCTCAGAGAGAAGTCCTTAGAGAGAAGTCCTTAGAGAGAAGTCCTTAGAGAGAAGTCCTTACAGTAGAGAGAAGTGTGTATGCGGTAACGGCACCGTACATCTACTCCCCACAGAACTACCGTACCGACCTAATCGTCGGCTCGCTTAGGTGGGCCTCCTTTCATCCTTTCAGTCTCGAGCCGACGATTACTCTGGGGCGCCCGATGGCGGTGGGGGTGGCCCAGCTGGAGATGGAACTACTTTACTCCGCTGATAGGCGGCCCAGCCAGATAAGCGAGTAAATTATTCTCTATCCAAAACCTCACCTTTGAGCTTTCTCCCTCTCCTTCTCTCCCAAGACAGCCTCAACTCGATGCACCGCACCGCACCGCAACCATGCCGGGAACAGTACACATCAAATATGGAAATCCCTCGTCTCAGCAATCGAAGCAAACCCATAATACCCATCTGAAGAATGGAACTAAACGCATGTGGGACGGCAGTCCGAAGCAAGAATCCGGCACGAAACACAACAGCGTCAAAAATCGTCCCACACACCCGACTGATACCCCCAGGGACAAGACCGGCACCTCTTTGGTCGCGCCGCAGAAGAACAAGATACAGGGAACCCCCCGATCCGAGGGGACTGTCAGAAAGACGTCGTCCACTACTGGCTTGTCAAATAGAAGTACCGCAGCGCCTAGCAAGATGGTCAATGGTCCTGGTGGAATTTACAGTCAGAAGCCTGATCGCCAGGCTCTCCGCAGAGCTGCTCTTCAACTCGAAAAGACCCGGCAGAATTTGCCCATATGGTCCAAGAGGGCGGATATCCGTTTTGCATTGAGGCACAACGATATCCTGCTCATCAACGGTGAAACAGGCTCTGGAAAAAGTACCCAGGTGCCACAATTCCTGTACACCGAACCCTGGTGCAAGAAGCAGACAGTGAAAATTGAAAAGGAGGGAAGGACGGAAGAAATCTCTGTGGGAGGCATGATCGCAATTACACAACCGCGTCGAGTTGCTGCCATGACACTGGCATCGCGTGTTGCTCGTGAGATGGGAACTCCTCTTGCGAAAGGGGCTGTTTCTGGAGAAGTTGGCTATGCTGTACGATTCGACTCCCTCGTACCTGCAGGCGCGAGGATAAAGTTTCTTACCGAAGGAATGCTGCTGCAGGAGATGTTGCATGACCCGAATCTGCGAAAATATAGCGCTGTGGTTGTGGACGAAATACACGAGAGGAGCATCGATGTGGACCTTATCGCTGGGTTTCTGAGGAACATAGTCCATGGTGACAAGAGGGGTCGGGGAGGTATTCCCCTGAAGATTGTGATCATGAGTGCAACGCTTGACTTGGGAGGCATCGAAGCATTCTTTGCAAGACCAGCATCTCAACCGAACTACAAGCCAGGTAAAAACCATGGCAGGATACTTGCACCCCACCTATTAAATAGCGATATTGATGATACTGCAGAGTCCGAGAACTCGCTTCTCTCCAACGAGAGCTTCTCTTCCTGGGGTGGGTTCAGTGATCTGGTTGAAGGTGGTGAAACGGGACAAGATGCGTCGCAAACTTTCGAAGACGGTCCTGCTGCGAAGAGAAACAAGTCAACCAAGTCACCACCTGGAATCCGGTCTAGCAAGGGGAACCAGGATTCGGACGATAGTCTACAATCCGCCCATGAGAAAAACGGAGTGGCCGTCCAATATATTCGGGGGAGGCAGTATGAGGTGGACATCATGTACGAAGTCTCTCCATCATTGGACTATCTCCATACGATACTGCAGATAGTTCTAAAATTGCACGTCACTGAACCTCTCCCTGGAGACATCCTAGTCTTCCTTACCGGTCAGGACGAGATTGAGAGCTTGCGGACCGAACTCGAGAACTATGCTGAGAAGCTTGTCAAAACCCAACCTCGGATGAAGGTGATGCCACTCTATGGTGCCCTTTCAGCACAAGCACAGCAAGACGCCTTCGAGAAGGTGAAGGAGAAGTTTACTCGCAAAGTCGTCCTCGCCACGAATATCGCGGAGACTTCGGTGACGGTCTCCGGGGTCCGCTTCGTTGTGGATTGTGGCAAGTCTAAGGTGAAACAATATCGTCCGCGCTTGGGGTTGGAGTCTCTCCTGTCAAAGCCAATATCCAGAGTCTCAGCTATCCAACGAATGGGACGAGCCGGCCGAGAAGCCCCAGGGAAATGCTTCAGGATTTACACTGAGGACGACTATCTTAAGCTTGACCAAGACGAACTTCCGGAGATTCTACGCAGTGATGTCATTGAGGCCGTTCTCAAAATGAAGTCTCGAGGCGTTGGCAATATTTCCGAATTCCCCCTCATGGACTCCCCTGACCCTATGGCGATCCAGAATGCCCTGAAACAATTGCACATGATGGGAGCCGTTGACGACGAGGGAAATATTTCATCGCTCGGGAAGAAAATGGCTACTTTCCCCCTGCCAGCTGCGTACAGCCGCGTCCTCATTGCTGCCGCTGACCCTGAAGCCAACATTTTACTGGAAGCTATAGACGTCATCTCGTGCTTGACGACAGATTCGGAGATATTTATACAACCCAAATCCGAGGAAGACCAGGAGAGGATCACAGACGCTCGGAAGGATATACTGTCTCCGGATGGTGACATAATCACTCTACTCGCAGTCATCAGGAGGTTCGCTTGCGAGAAAACCGATCGTGGTGAATGGTGCCGTCAACGAGTCTTGTCTCCACGAGCAATGAAGATGGCAATGCAAATCCGCCAGCAACTACAGCAGATTTGCCACCAGCAGAAACTCCTGACAAAGCTGCCGGCGGAGCCAACGACTTTCGAGCCACTTTCCGCGGAGCGAATGGTCGTTCTGCTCAAGGCCTTCATGAAGGCATTTGCTTCCAAAACAGCCCTGCTAGCTCCCGACGGAAGTTACGTCATGACATCTGGAAGGAATGCGATCTCGGTACATCCATCCAGCGTATTATATGGACAGAAAAAGACTGAGGCGATTATGTTTCTGGACCATGTGTTTACGGCAAAGAACTACGCGAAGAAAGTTAGCCCTGTTCAAGCCAACTGGATTGAAGAGGCTTTCGCAATTTAGAGATACTCATTGCAAGAGTGTTGATATCTGATTCAAGATTTCCTTTGTGCTCCTATAACGAGGGAGGATAAGGGTAGCGTTGCGGCAAGGAGTGTCATAGATACCTAGACAACGAAGTCCGACGTATAAGCTCACCCGAACGGTTACAGACCGAACGGTCGCAGTTCAATTTCTGCATCTTTTTTTCATCTTCTGAAGTCCCGCTCTTGTCCAAGTTCGCGATGGTACTCGTGTCCTTGGTATATGTGGCATCGCTTCAAATCATGTGGATTTCTCTACACATTCTCCCCACCATCTCTTCGTTTATGGCTGTAGCCTCCTCCAAAGCCTCCAGCCTACGCTTGACCATGTTCACTTTCTTCAATGATTATCTCACTATCAAAACGCACCCTGAATGATGCCACCAAGTCCGTCTGCTTTTCCCGGTGCTCCCTTCTATTGCTTGTTGGGCAAGCTTCAATTCGCCTGTCCTCCAACTATGAATGCGCGAAACCAAATATATCACAAATACTGTCGAGAACGTAATACGTAGAAACGACCAGAAGTCTTGGAAGTCCATGTGCCAGCCAGCCTTTCGCGCTATTAGCGGGAGCTTTGTAACGATGCAAGCCAATGACAACTTAATTAAACTCAAAATGCTCGAGGATACTTGCCTGTATTCAGTCGGAACTAGCAATATGATAGATATCCTTATCTAAGTGCATTAGTCCCTTAACGATGTACAATGCCACCGCCGAATCGAGACAGGACGAGTACACTCGCTCGTCGATTCAAAACCCAGCCGACTGAGTATTGAGTTTACTTGTATCCCTATCTGTTATCGCGCGTAGAAACCGGCCAAGATGACACATCCCCAGGAAAAACTGTCCATACCGATTATGGAGATACGCTTTCCCGGGATTGCGTAGAGGTTACCGGCTGATGGTTGTCAAATAGTCCGGCAAGAAGTACGAGAGACACCATCCGTTGGGAGAAGAATGGTGAGCACCCAACCCGGACGTACACAGATTATTTACTGCGTGGTATCTGTCCGCAGAGGTCGTATGATGGTCAGATAGCAGATATTACTTAATGCTATCTATACGGGCTGTGTATTGCATGTTTAGCAGGACCGTAAGAATGATATGACGAGGGGATGACAGGATGACATTCCGATCGCTGTAGTGATGACCATCCTTCAAGATACTTAGCGCACGGCAGCTGTGTCAGACGTGTCCTCGAGTAGTCCAGTATTGTGTAAGGTAATAAGTGATGTGATACACATTTGCTGCTGATCATGGATTAAGGAAATTGAGAGATTAGTCGTAAGTCTGCACAAAATTTACACTGGGCAGATGAGGAGATGGGGCACATTTTTTCAACGTGGAGAGACACGCAGACCGTGTATGTATTCTAGTCAAAATATGTAAAAGATACAGAATGGATCTTAACCTCACAAACAGGTGATATCCCTCCCTCCCTTGGACACTGTCCAACGGAATCAACAAGCAAGGGAGGCTGCTCGCTTAGCTGCGAAGGACTCGGAAGTATCCACGTCAACAGACAAACGATCATGTACGGCTAGACGCCAAAACCGAACGCTCCATTACGCCAACTTCTACAACGATGCAAATATGACGGCCATATACGCTCGTTCAGAAATCTTCAATGAATACGGTCCAACCTGGCTCTGTTCATGGCGATTTGGTCGTCCACGCGGTCGCTCTGCAGACAGATCAGATAATGCTGGATGACAAGGAAGAAAATAGCGGCAAGGTTTACCTTCTTAATAATAATATCAATGTGCTTGTTCTGCTCATCCACTTCCTTCCCTGTAGCACGTGCCAGGGCATTCAATCTCCCAGCAGCATGTCCCAAGGCATCCAAGTTACTGTCGATTTCATTTTCCATTTCCTCGTCTTCCGAGTCGGCTTCAAATTGGTACTTGGATCTTTCGGCGAGACTGGCCTTGGTCTGGGGAGCGCGATAGCCCACGTCTCCAGGTTGCAGTTCCTTGAATGCTCGTTCCATTCGCTGTTGTGTTCCAAAGGCAGCCGCTCTGGTCGTGTCACGCTCTTCACGCTCTTGGCGATGCTTTTCAATGATATCCTGATCGCGTGCAGCACGGCGAGAAGATGCAGTGAATGGGTTGGAGACATGGACTGCGAACATGCTCTTGTTCAGAGTCTTAAGTTCCTTGGACTTTTCTTCGGCGACTCGGTTATGGTTTGCAGCCAAGTCCAGATTCTTCTCGGTATTATGGATGCGTTCTCCTTGGGCACCAAGTCTGGCAAGTGTAGCTCTACCGACCTCTTCTGCCTGGGCGGCAATACGCAGAGCATTGCGGGTAGACGAAACGTCCTCTTGCTTCATGAAGCGGATCTGCTGCTTGGTAGCCGCAACATCCTCTTCTTCTTCCTCTTCAGCCGTGAGCTGCCTCTCTTCTCCGTATGCCCCATAGCCTCCTCCTTGGCCAGGAGCTCCAGGTTCAGACTTGTACGCGGCCCCAGGTCGCCCAGTGTTCGGAGGAAGGGCACCCCTCTCAGCGTATCGATCCTTAGCGCCACCGAAAAGCGCGTTTCGGTTGTCCTCTGTCGTCGTAGTGTCATTGCTGTTCATTCTTCCTAGTCCTCCATAGCCACCTGGGCGCATAGATCCAGTGTCTCCGCCTGCCCCAGATCCATCATATCGATTGGAGCCATAGCCACCACCGCTGCCATACTTTTCGGCCCCATATCCAGGCTGGTTCGCTGTCCCTACAGCGCCCCGGCCACCTGGTCCGTTTGGCAGGCCGTAGTTATGCCCTGCTTGTCCATAGGGCGAGCCACCAGAAGGGGCAGCTGGTCCCATGTTGGCGTACTTGTTGTTGTCCTGCGCGTAGGGATCGGCAGCCTGTGCTGGCTGGGCATAAGGGTTCGAGGCGGCAGGGGCTGGGGACGAGTTCTTTGATCGACCGCCAAAGAGCGCGGATCGGTTGGAATCGTCGTCTCCTCCATCACCACTCTTCTTTCCGAAGCCAAACTTCTTCATCGTGGTCGCTGGATTTCGTTGTGAAACTCGGGTCCAAAGCTTTGCTTACCTTTCGCTTTCAGCTGAAAGGAAGTGAAGTGGAAATATTGGAGTGCAGCACCGTAGTGACTGAGGCGGGGGGCGAGACTGGGGAATGGATTGAGATTGAGATTTTCGGAGTGGAAGTGGAGGGGGAGAGGTTTTTTTGGTTTTACTCTGCTCGATGAAGGAAGTCGGGAGAAGATCAGGTCGCGGTGATGGATATGTTGGGATTCTGACTCTGGGTCTGGGTTTTGTGAACAAACGAACAAGGTGCTCGGTGGTAGGGAGAGTATGGGCTGAAGTCGAGTGGAGCCCAGCCGTGCTAAATCGAGTCAGGGATGATACTTTGATGGTCGTACGCAGGTTTCAGCTGTACCGAATGGAAGAAGCTTAAGAAGCGGGCCGGCGGGTGAGTGAGTGGGTCCCGCGTGTATCGGCCAATAAGAACAATAAGATCACACTCAGCACGTGACTTGAACGGATGACTACTCACCGACGCTGTCAGCCTCGCCGTCGCCTTCACTCGTCCATCGCTGGCCCTTCGACTACAGAGCAACACATTTATCAACATTCCTCCTCTCCTCCTCTTCCTTGTTGTCGTCGTCGTCTTCATCAATACCAACTTCCACTCTGTATCAGCATCATCTCCCAGCACCAGCAGCACGCACCCCTTGGCGACATCAAACCACGCACGCCAATCACAATGTTTCAACAACTGTTTTGAGGTCGGAGCCCAACCCAGATCGTCCGAGACTCCCTTCACTGCCTGCCTTGCCCCCAATCGCACTTCTCAAGATGTTTCCGTCTAGACCACACACTTGTATACGGCCACTATCGAATGCAAATCCTACTGGAATACAGCGGCAAGATCCCGGAACCCTTACCACTCTGAAACCTGGCGAGCGAACATGGCCAGCATCTTCACCTTTGAGACGGAACTCGCTCGGGTTTCTTCTCCTTGGCTGACACCTTCGGACAGCCCTAGACCCACGACGCCAACTTCCCAGCCTAAAGAACAAGCTTCGTCTGCTCGGCTCGAGGATCATGGCGTTACACGACTCCAGGCGGAGCCTCAACAAGGCCCTACTGAGTACAAGCTCCACTTGCTGCTTAGACCGAGAAGAAACTGTAGGGATGAGCTCTTATTGTTATGTGCCTAACTCTTTCTTTTTGCTAGATACATAGGTGTAATGAATGTAGTGATTGAGTCAGAGAAGCATCCAATACCATTATCCTTCCGCGTCTTATGTATAGACTCGTGCTGATTCTATGTAGACAGCAGATCTTCAACCGGATCTGCTAGTTCGAGGCCACAACAGGACGGCCGAAAACCTGGCAACCCAGTGACCAATGAATCGGGCCATATTTCAGCCGTCCTAACGCCTTCGAGATCGCGACAGCATCGCTTAGAACAACTAACAACGCAGCTGCTTTGGCGGTAAGGGATCCACTGACCCCCGCATCTTTCCTTTCAGTCTTGGGATTTGATCCGGAGATATTGTCAGATATCTTCTCCGGATACCCTTCTGCGCCAGCGATTACTGACTCTACTATTATCCAGTCTTCAACAATCTTCTCCATATCATGACTTCTCTACCAGTGATCTGGTCCTCCCTCAGCTACCAGAAGACACAGAAAGCCTCGTAGAGCCTCTGCAGCCAGCTAAGCTGCTTGCGGGGCTAGAGCAAAGTCGAGGAGCTCTGTATGAAATTGGAGGTTAGTTAATGGGTGATAGTCCCCCACAAACAGGCGGCAATCCCACGGCTGCTCCCAAAACGTGTAAAAGGCCGTTATTTGCTGACTGCGGAAGTATCTGATGATGGAACCTTCGTAGGGTTAACTAAGGATGAAATGGATGAATCACTAAGAAATCTTCGAGTCATGGCTGCTAGTCTCGGCTGCAATGTTGAGATTATCAGAATGGTCATCGTTGGTGATTGCGAATGGCAAGAGTCGTCAAGTTCTTCCTCTGATTCTGAGATATCGCTTGCGAATCTAGAAGGACCGCATACCCGGAACTCAACTAGATCAACGGTAGACTCCCAAACACTCCGCCACCAAGCACAACTTTGGGTTGCAGAGGCTCTTGTCTCCCCCAACTTGGGTCCTCGGGATAAGCAGTCGCAGGGAGAGCCAATATCAGAATCTACCAGTGACATGCGCTACAACGCCCCGAATCCTGTTGAGCTCGAGAAGAAGTTGTCACTTGATCGAGAAGCAGAATGTGAAGAGACAGAACAGTTGCGAATCACTCTGACAGGGCCTACGAATTCTGGGAAGTCAAGTTTGCTTGGCACGCTCTCTACAGCCACTCTGGACAACGGTAGAGGTAAAAGTCGGCTGAGTCTTCTGAAACATAGGCATGAAATCGCTTCAGGTTTGACGAGCTCCGTAGCCCAAGAACTTATTGGTTACAAGGGATCGAATGTTATTAACTACGCTTCCGGGAATGTTACTTCTTGGACAGATATACATTTTTCCTCCAAGAGTGGCCGCTTGGTATTCATTTCTGACTCGGCCGGACATTGGCGATAGTAAGTATTTTATGACTATCATTTTACTCTCCAAGGTTTTCCTGGGTCCCAGTATCCTGCTTTTGACTCTAATATCCCAAGTATGGCAAAGACTGACCCTAATTGCTCACCAGCCGTCGAACAATCGTCCGCGGTCTCATCGGATGGGCACCTTCATGGATCATCTTGTGCATTGCTGCCGACGAAAATTTTTCGAACAGTGCTGGCGGCACGACTGCCTCTCACGACATTCTTGGCGCAGCCGAGCTCGGTATTGATCTGGGCAAAGCGCACTTAGAGCTCTGCGTGAAGCTTGAGCGACCATTAGCTGTGGGTATGTGCAACTCCATTCTCATTTTCCTTTCAAGACCCCGGCTCCCAATACATGTCTAGACAGCCGAACTTCTCAGGCAGTCTCAAATCGTCAGAATTGCCGGATTACAGTACTGATCCCGTCAAAGTCATTACCAAATTGGATCTCGCATCGAAATCAAGTCTAAGGCACACACTAAGTAAAATACTCTCCATCATAAAAGCTACTGGTCGAGTACCCTACATCCTTCCCCCGGACCAGGCAAAGAACGTCGATGAATCTGATCTCAACACCATTCCTCAAAGTAGTAAGTGGCTTCTTGCATCCAAAGAGCTATACACATATTCTTCTGCTCTCATCACCAGCATTCAACTAAGGTAAACCAGACAGTTTCGATCCAGTGCGGCGACTCATCGAAAAGATCAAGGCGGAAGACCCTACATTGATTGTTCCGATCGTCATGACAAGTGCGGCTAAGGGTACAGGCATCCGATCCATGCACGCTTTACTTCAAAGTCTTCCGATTCCACCTACCCCTACTGCACAGGACCTCATTGGTGAGGCCCTCAATCCGGAACAGCCTGCCTCTCTGTTCCACATTGAGGATGTCTTTGGACTTCCAGCATCTCTAGAAACGGTTGCCTCTGAAAGGTCTCAAGACACTGGCATGGTAGTTGCTGGACATTTAAAATTCGGAAGGTTTTCTGTCGGTGATGTAGTAGTTGCCGGCCCGTTCCTTGCAGAAGATGGAATTGCATCATCCCCACAGGCGGAAACAAGATTGTCCCCAAACAACCTTAGAAATTCGCATTCGCATCCTTCAACAGCTGAATTGCCCCGGACAGCTTCCCGCCATGGCACCTCGGCGTCCACAGCGAAAGTAGAATGGCTTACTGCGCAGATTGTTAGTTTGAGAAACCTCCGTTTGCCGGTCCATACCTTAGAGGCGGGACAGGTTGGCACTGTCGGAGTCGTCTTTGATATTGCGTCGGATAAAGTTTCTGATGGCGCCTTTGAGCGCACTCGATCCTCGCCACCACGAGTAAGAAAAGGTCAAGTTATGGCTATTCCAAGTCGACACATGATCGATACAGGACAGACTATGAAAGCTGCCAGCGGATTTACTGCATCGTTCGAAGACAGCGATATCAGTTCTCTCACACCGGGGAGCTTGGTTGTTGTGTACGTAGCTAGTATCCGGGCAGCTGCTAGGGTGCTAAAGCTGGTACCTCGTCCAAACAAGGAGTTGGGGACCGCAACCCGAGGGGAAGAGCTTGATGTTTTTGGCCTGAATGACCAAGAAGATACGGAACCAGAACCACTTGTATTTGGCATGGATGGAATTACAGATGTCACCTTCGAGCTGTTGACAAGCCGTGAATGGGTAGAACTGGGCGAAAATATCCTAGTCATGCCCGGAGGAGGTCACGGCTTATATTATGGATCCGAAAGAGGAGAGAAAGGTGTCGCCGGGCTTGAAGGATTTGCTGGTAGAATCATAGAAGTTGTAGACTAGAAACCCTCGAGCGGATCGCACGGGGATACCGTCCTGTCTCAAGGCTCATGGCAGCACCTTCACGCACATGAGGCTTTCAGTCTGGTAAGAGCTGTGTCATAGCGAGGATGTACGACATCCATCTCGGCCAAGTCATCCCCATCCATCCACCCTGATGCCAGGCGGTTGGACAACCTTGAACAAGAGCCCTTCTTGATGCCTTGCTCTGGCACACTGCTGCCTACTCTAATCCTACACCAACGAGCCGTGACGACATGGGATTCCGCACTGGAGCCTTCCCAGACCTCCCTCCGTTACGCCCTGACCAGACCGTAAAACAAGGTCCATGTTAAGACAAAGCCGCTCAGCCCCTCGATCAAGCCTCCCGTCCACAGCTCCAAGCTCCCCCTAAAATACCTTTCGATACCAGATGATCCCTGGGCCTCCGCCTCCTTCATCATCCCCGGCCGAACGCGGAACACATAGACGAGTGCGGAGGTGAGCAGCGTGAAGAAGAGGTAGAAGAGGAAGCCGGGGTAGGACTCGAGGCCCAGAATGCCGGCGCCGATGCCGAAGAGGGAGGCTGTCAGATTGTGCAGCGTCGTGAGAGTCTGTGGTCGAGAAAGACATACGTTAGTGATCGGGTTGGCAGGGACCAGATGTTTGGATATGGTAGTTAAGTGGGCAGGCAGAGCAGTAGGCTGTGGGCGCGTCTATGGCGGTGGGGATCCGTTGAGATGGCCCGTCAGCTACGTTGGTCGCGCAATGTCGAGAGACTGGAGGCGGAGAACTTCAGGTCGCATGAATGCGCGCATGGGAGCGAGAGGGCGTTCATTTCAAGATATTCCGATGGTTGGTATTGTGCTGGAAAGAGATGGTGGTATGCAGCGACAAAACGAACCTTGGTATTGTGAACGACGGACTCTTGCACGATGGGGCTTATCTGTAGCTCGCGTTCGCTACGCATTGTAGCTATGGCAAGCAGTCCGGCTGGATCAGGGTTGTGGTTTTGAAGGGGCTTCTGTGTCGATTATCGATTATCGATTGTCGATTGTCATTTGTCGGTTGTCGATTGTCAATTGTCAATTGTCATTTGGGTTGTAAATACGGAGTACGGTGAGGAAGTCAACAGGTCACCGTGCGCCACTCTGGAAATGCGGCCACCCCAATGATGCCTCAGGCAAAAGTTCGTCTAAGTTCCCCTACGTAAGTAAACAAGGTAGAAAATAAGAAGCTCACCCCCTTAGTACAGAACTGTATCCCAGCCGAGGTCCCGCTTCATATCCCGATCCTAATAAGTAAACATCATTTTCTTTCTGTCCGCCTGACTGGTCCTTCCAAACACACAATCTATAACGGAGGGTTTATCGACAGTGTAAAGCCCGGATGGTATTCCGCACGGCGTAGATGGCTGATGGCCTGAGTGAAGTAACGTAACGTTGACTCCGTATCCCCCGGAACAGCTGTCACTGTCATCGTACCGAGCGACATCTGTGGGGAAAGCGATGCAAAGGCAAATCAGTCCCTTACTTAAAAAGCGGGTGATTCGACACACATCACGTGGACGCGCCACCGACCTTGAAGATATCGATGATAAAAAGAGCATGAGCAGAACAGCAGAAGGAACGGGTCAAGTCATCAACAACAAAAGTAACTTGGATCATCCTGATCTTCACTGCGACACGTTTTCGTTACTGTACCAGGAGGTGCAGATTGGAGATGGGATGGCATTTTGAATTTGGTCCCTCGGACCCTCGGATCCTCGAACCAGTCACTCCCTGATTGCGGAAGTGGAGTCTTTTTGCCCAGAGCTCAATTACGGTACGGGGCTACCGGTCTGCCGGTCGAGGCCAGCCAGGGACAAGGCTGGGCCCGGGTCCGGGTCCGGGTCCGGGTCCAGCTCCAGGTCCAGCTCCAGGTCCCGGGGAGCTCTCCCTCCAACATGTCTCCCATCTCCTGTCTCTACCTATCGACCCTATCCATCTTTATCTCGACCGACACCGACACCGACACCGACACCGACACCGACACCGACACCGACTCCGACTCCGACTCCAACTCATTTCTCTCCCTAATTCCAGCTCTACTGCGCAACAATCATTTCCCATCCCGCAACTTGCTTGCCTTTCCTCACATCTGATCGTCTCGGCAGCGCGTCGATCGGAATGGACGCCCCCAGCTTGCCATAGTAGAGTACTGTATTCATGGAGGCCCTAGTATTCCACGATTCGCCCCTCGCTGAGTATCTCGAGGGTAAGTAAGAATGTTTGAGCCGACCGCCCCCTTACCTTACTGATCTGTCGGCACCTACAGGTCATGGCGACGGTGGAGAGGCTTCCGAACGCACACCCAGTGTGGAACTAGATGTCCCTTGGGACGGTTCGAGTCCGTCCTTTGCTCCACGGGGTAGGCCAACCGTCCGACCAAAGTTCCGACCAGAGTTCCAGCCCCCTCTGCGACTCTCAGCACCCCAGCACACCGCCGTCGCTGTCGCGGCCATACATAATACCTGCTCTGTATGCCACGGCTCCAGAACTCCCCTCATCACCCCCGGCTAACGGAATCTGTGCCCCAGAAGGCAGTTAACTCTAGACTTGGGCGAGCCGACAATGCGAGATTCCTCGAACGCTTTCGGTATATCATAGTCGCATCCCGGCTTCTCAATGCACACTCATACATCGGACAGGCGCTACATGGGCAGTCTCAGGAACTTACAGTGCAAGCTCCTGAAGCTCTGCAGCTGAGCGCGATCACTCTAGTGGGCGCCGCCGTTACTTCTTCGATGGCCTTTGCTTTGGCATGGCTAACACACTGGACAAGGAGTCATGGGAGCCCCTCGGCTAGAAGAGGACGTATGGCTATTCTCCTCTTTGTGATAATCTTGGTGGTCGCCGTGTCGTACGCACACATGCGTAGGCAGTGGCTTCAATATTTGCGACAGCAATCACTGGCAGAAATATCGGGCTTTGCTGCGAAAGCGCAAAGACTCGATTCTGCGATAGGAGCAGCTTTGACACTTGTCCAAGAAGTCGAATTGGTATCGCGAGGGTACCGATTGTAAGCCGTAGCGTATCCTCTGTGACATCGATCCCTACTGATATCAAGGCAGAAGTACGCCCCTTCCTCCTGTAAGTCGAATAGAAGAACGATGCCAAACCAGAAGATGTGCTCGGCTTAGAAAACAACTGCTTCGCTGCTTCTCGGCAGTGATCCCACGATATAACCAAGCTTGTGTTGCTCTTAAGCTATTGGCTGAGGAGTTGGACCTCGAGAAATACTTCGATATCTACGACATAAATGACAGTGATTTCTCAGACGCAATGGCTGGTTTCTCTGAGAAGGAGTTTGAAGATGCCGAATCAGTCCGAGTTTTGAAGATCCTGGCCGCCAGGTTTTGTACTTCAAGGACGATATTTCTTTGTTGTTTGATGGCCCTGGATGCAGACGGAGCAAAGCCTGACTTTGATCGGTGGAGTACAGCTGTTGAACAGATTCAAGGGGTGGCTCTTGTTACTGGTGATGCTGAGGATCGTTTACGTCGAATTCTGAGCGAGGAAGAAAGTACGTTTTTCGCGGCCAGAGCTTGAAGCACCCACTAATCTGTCCTTAGACTTCTCCATTTCTCCAACCCCCCAAGTCCCGACAACGCCGGGTCGCGAACGTTGTAGGGCCCAGCTACGTAAGCTCAATTCGCTATCAACCGGGATCCGCGGACTTCAAGCAAAATTGCACGTCCTTCGCGAAGAGTCGAACACGAGTCTCGAGGAGACAGATGACGTGTCGGAAGTAGGAACCAATCTGATGATCCAGTATGAGTCCATTGGAGTCGATCTCAAGTCTCTGATGCATGAATGGGAAGAAGGAAAAGCGGCACTTGCGTCCAACATTGGTCGAAACGAGCGTCGCGTATCCTCCATAAGCGGTATGCTTTCACCAACCACCTCACTGGGTGGCCTGACCGCCGTTGAAGAAGGAAGTGCGTCAGATGCTCTGAAAGCTCTCAACGGGGAGACAAGATCTCGGAACAGTATGGACTTCAGTTCTTCCGACGCCGAAGAGGTGTTTGAGGCCGTCGCTATCCCACGCCAGCGCCCGAGGAGTACTTTGTCAAGAGAGGAGCGGATCCTGAGAATGAAAGAAGACAGGGCGAAGAGGGACTCGGTAAAATCCAAAGCAGAGGCCAATACGAAAATGCTAAGAGAATTGGAGTCAGTGATAAATATGCGGCCAAGAGGCAGGACGGCAGCTGGAGGTCGAATTACTTCAATATGATGGACATGCGTAATGAATTTCTTTTGCTTAGACACGTGGATGGAATCTGGAATAGCTATAGCATCGAGTACCGGAGTTTTCTCCTCGTTACTCGTTACTCGGTCCCAGGGAGGCGAACTTATTACATACCCAGGATAGGACGAGGCGGTGATGTATTGGAATAGACTCTTATCCCAATTCTGTATTAAATGATAAATTACGGCCAGGAAGCTACTTATCTCGTTCGGCCATAGTCGTGATAGCCCTCACTCACTCAGTACCCGCAGGCAAAGCCTTTGAATGCTGTATATCACGTGATAGCATGTTTTATTCAGAACGCGCTTCGTCACCCGGCAGCGCGTTCTTTCCCTTCGCCTTCCCTTCCAGAGGTCCGGGGCACCACAAAGCTCCTCGCTGGACATGAACAGATTCACGACTACATGCTTCGGTTTCGGTTTCGCTTTCGGTCTCGACAATGCCGGCACCGACGCGCAACCAGCGTATCTTTAATTCTGTCTTCGGTAGGGCGGATATTTCACAACCAACCCCCGTTGCGACCCCAGCGACTGGCTTCACAGCTCCTGGGGAGGCCTTTGGAGTGCTGCCGCCAGCGCCCGTCCAGCGAAATACTTCATCACTTCCCTCGATCTATAGTGGCTCCCTGAATCCGAAAGGCACTGGTCCAGATGGCCATATTCAGGATCAAGTTCGCTGGGATCGCTCCTGGCATCTTCTTACCCGGACGCTTTCCCTCCCTGCCTTCCCCGAGAGCAGAGGCATATTGGAACCGCTCAAGCCCGAAAGAGAATCCATGGCCCCGGATTTTTACAGTGCTCTGGAAGATGTTCTGTACCCCGAGGTCAACGTTCCATTTGCACGCCAGACAGAGGATATTATTGCCTGGCATGCATCTCAAGTCCGACACCACTTTCTGCACCAAGTTCTCCCAGTCGTCTTACGTTTAAGAAGTCATGATACGCCAGATGATACGCCAGAGAGGGTTCTTCTCAAGTCTGTCAAGGTGCTGGAAACCGCTTACCGGCAATACGTTCACGGGTTGTCGTTCATCAAGGAGCAAATCGATCTTTCTTCACCGGGAACATCGATTCCAATCATGGCCAAATTCTGGCGAGACCTTGATGCCGTCATCAGCAATTCGGCGATGGAACCTTTGTCGAAAGATCTGAAAAAGGTCATGAGACGATATGTTTTCTCGATCCTCGGTCTTTCACGAGACCAGCCTCGCCATGTCCCAATGGCAATTTCACCTGCAAGCCACGAGACGGAAAAGTCGGTTCGAGAGCTGCTTGGATTGATCGAGTCTTGTAAGAAGGTCGGATTAGCCGGAGAGCGGTTCCAGGTCATCTTCGCCGAGATCATGAACGACGCTACGATGGAGTACGTGCATGTGGCCTGCCAAGGCGTCTGGTCTTTACAGGATTCGGGAAAACTGGTCGCTGCCGTAGGCCGCAACTCGATTCTTCCACGGACTGCTCATAACCTGGCTCCGTCGTGGTGCGTGACAGACCTGTGTGAGTGGATCGAGAGTAGGCATAGCCAGCTTACTATTCGAGTTCTTCGTATGATCAATCCCGAGGCGGAAGTTTCGTGGACAGAAAAAGAAAAATTCAAGGAGATGGGGATTGGGATGCTTGCTGAGCTTCGGACCAAGGAACTGTTTGACATAGTTGGTAATTGGCCCAATAGCAACGGAGCTTTGGAAGACCTTCGAACAGCCATCACAACCCCTCAGAGGCGTCTACGCTTAACAGAGGTTTTCTCCGAGACTCTGAAAAGCAAACTTCTGCACCCAGGCACTTCGACACTACAGATACTGCAAACCTACATATCTATGATCTGGTCATTCCATTCTCTAGATCACTCCAAGGTTCTACTGGATCGAGTCGCTTACCCTTTGCAGCTTTATCTTTGCTCACGGGAAGATACGGTGCGGATCATCGTTACTGGATTGCTTTCGGATACGCATGATGTCCAGGGGAACCCAATTGGCCATGGGAGCGACAAGCTGGTGGAGCTGGCACAACTTCTTAACAGCGGCTCGGACCAGGTTGGGGCACTAGCAAACGACGAGGAGCTCGACTGGCACGACATGGACTGGGTACCTGATCCAGTCGATGCCGGCCCGGGGTACAAGAGGTCTAAGAGTGCTGATATCATAGGAACTCTCATTGGAGTCCTCGGATCTCAAGACGTCTTCATAAAGGAGTTTCAGAATATTATAGGAGAGAATTTCTTGAGGCACGATGGTTCTTTCGAGAAGGAGGCAAGCTTTGGACAAACAGAACTCCCAAATGTGCACTGACTTGTAACAGGTCAAAGTCCTCGAGCTCTTGAAAACCCGCTTTGGAGAAGCGCCGCTGCAGGCTTGTGAGGTCATGCTCAAGGATATTCAAGATTCTCAAAGAGTGGACAACTACATCAGGAAAACACAGCATCTGGAACCAAGTGATATAGAAATATCCGTAGCCCAACAAAAACGCGCCAGCTCCAAGTCGGATGGGCCCATTCACCCCGAAGGCCAACTCAAACCATGTTTGCATGCGAAGATCCTGTCCAGGCTATTTTGGCCACAGCTACAGGACGAGAGCTACGTTGTTCCGGATTCAGTCCAGTTCCTTCTACCGAGATACGAGCTAGGCTTTGAAGCGCTCAAAACGGCTCGCAAACTGACCTGGCTTCATTTGTTGGGCCAGGCTACAGTTGAGCTGGATTTGGAAGACCGTATGATCACCGAGGAAGTCCATACATGGCAGGCCTCAGTCATCTGGGCCTTCGACAGCATCGAGCCGGGTCTACAGAGGACTGTGCAGCAGTTGGTGACCAGCCTCAAGATGGACGAAGCGCTAGTTCGAAGCGCGTTGAGATTTTGGGCCGACAAGCTTGTGCTGCACGAGATCACGCCGGGTACATACGCCGTGCTTGAGACCCTCAACCAGGAAGATCGTGCCCGGGCAGATGCACAAGCTGCCGCCTCAGCGGCGACGGGTGGGAATGACGAGAGCCAGGATGATACTGGGTTGGCGGCCACCGATGCTATAGCGAAGGAGAAGACGGGGATGTATTGGCAGTTTATTCAGGGTATGTTGACCAATAGTGCCAAGGAGATGCCGCTGCCGAGGATTGCGATGATGTTGAAGGTGCTCATTGTGGACGGGTTCCCGTACAGCAACGAGGAGCTGCAAGACTTCTTGGGGAGGAAAGTTGCGGATGGGAGCTTGGAGTTGACTGGGGGGAAGTACCGCCTTAAGAAGTGAGAATGGTTTGTTTGCATCGTATGTGTATGTCCTAGATAGATAGTAAAGTAGTAGTAGTAGTAGTAGTAGTAGTAGTAGCACCGGGTCAGGCGAATGCCAGGAATTGAAGACATGATTCACGTGGGGGTGGGGTGGGGAGGGGGGCGCAAGAGGCCCCAAGGTCTCGTTCAGACTAAGGCATTGTGAAGCTTCTGATCTTGGCTGGCTGTTAACTGACTGATGGCAAAGGGTAGAGTAGAGAAGTTGGCGCAATGGAAGATGTATATTCGAGTCAACCAAGAAGCCGTGGCGATAAGCTGCTGCTGTTGATAGATAGATAATCGTCGGCTCGCTTAGGTGGGCCTCCTATCTAGATAGACAACGGAATGGATCTGACCATGACTCGCATTGCCAGAGCCGAAGTCCCTACAGTATCTCTCGGTACGGAGTAGAGACAGTCTGTTGGGCGGTGAAGCAAAAAAGAAGACTTTGTTTCTCATTACTCGGTCACGAGTTGGACCACACGACACGTACCATTCTTAGCAATCGACCATCGACAATTGACAATCGACAATCGGTAATCGGTAATCGATATGCGATAATCGATAATCGATAATCGATAAGCAGCTTGGCTGGCCTCGTTCTGGCCTGACGACATACCATAACATGCATCATAGAGGAACGGAGATCATTGATATCAAGCATCGAGCAAAGTAACGAGTAGAGTAGGTATGACCGTGATCAAGACCGTGATCAGGACCGTGATCAAGACCGTGACCATGACCGTGACCTTTCTCACGTGCCCGAACGACTTCACTTCCCTCCACTTCAACCCACTTGCATCTGACAGACACTGGCACTGAGACTTACCGATACAGACACTTTCACTTTCACTTTCACTTTCACTTACACTTGGAGCAGTGCCCGGCCCGGCGAGCTATCTTACTCTTACTCTGTCTGACGGTCACTCCGTAGAGGTACGAACGAGTACCGCTACTTTTTCCGTAAGTCGTCTGTCAGACCGTCCCCTCCCTTGCCTGCCCTGGCCCCGACCTGACCTTGGTTTGGCGTTTGCTCCTGCGACTGCTTGACTTTCCCAGTGAATCCCTCCGCTCAGCCATTCATACATTCATTCATTTCTCTGCAGATTACCACCATCCATAATCGAAATCAAGCCTCGACAACTCGTCCTCTTCTCGCCTTCCTCCACCACCCCCCGGCCTGTTGATTCCCGTTACCTGCACCTCAACTTCAACTGCCGAGAGCGACAATCCGCCAACCGCACACCCAAGCTCACCGACACTCGCAGACCCATCTCCATCTTCAGTCCAGTCTCGCGCTCTATAGAGCACGTCGGCTGCGCCCCTTTCGATCCTACAACGGTGAGTGTAAAGGCCGGAGGTCTGCTGAGAGAGCGAAGAGCTCCCCATACGAAAACCCGCTCGATACCCGCCCCAATCGACTTGTCGACCCCACCCCTTTGTACTTGATCGGGGAATGGATCCCATGGACTACACTATGGACGAGGCTTCAAGTCAAGGGAACAACAACTTCCTTCGATATCAGTGTCAGAACCCGTCGTCCCCTCAGGCTCAGAGCAACTTCTCCCCAGGCCGCCGCTACGACCCCGTCCACGATTCTTCCATGTGGAGGACCCATGCAAGCAGTTCCAACGTACCACTTCGTCCACCCTATTCTCCTCCGGACGTGCAACAATGGCCGCCGGCCTTTGTACCGGGAACGAACTGGCAGGGTTGGAGTAGTAGTGGAAGGCCAAACTTTGGGGACTTCAATGGGAGGGCGCCGACTTTCGGGGACGTGCAAAGAGATATAACGGCTGCTTTCACTGATTCGGCACTGCCTCAGTTGCCTCCCTTCCCTGAGCAACCAAGCGGAGCAAGACAATATTTGAACGCACCTTGGAGCTACGGGAACCGGTACGGTAATTACCCTAGTTCTCCTCAGGCGAATCAAGCCCGTAACACAAGAGAAAGCTTCGTATCGGCATTGCGTCCGAGTCTCTTACCTGCCGAACAAGACACCCGGCCAACGGGGGCTGCAAGTCAGCTTGGAACGGCTGGTACCACCCGCTTGCCATCGACTTCAGCAGTAGAAAGCCTGGCCGAAATATTTTCACATGTCCCAAACGGTATGGCTATCAATAGGAATTCCTATCCACATCCCAACAGACGTCACATGAGCGATCCGGAACGGTCAGATGGCCGCTTTGAGACTCAAGTCAGACAACAGCCTCACACTCTTGAATCTGAATCCGAATCGACTTCGGATAGGGAAAACAGCTCGGTTTTCCGTTTGGCTCTAACAAGACACGCCAGAGACGAGCTTTATGCCGATATGGGCAATCTCGATGAGCGTGCCATAGCAGCTATGCGAGGGCAAATTTCAGCATCCAAACGACTTCCGACGGAGGAGGCTTTAGGTTCTCTTGAGACCCTGAATGCTGAAGATTTGAAAGGCAAGGCGAAATGTAAGTTGATCTTTCTTTTTCTCTTGCCCTGTTTCAGATCGATTCGGGTACCATCTCGTCACTTCATGGATGGCTACCAGGAAAGTTCCGGCGTATCGGAGTGTATGGGCATGGAGTGAATCCTTCGTGCAATTAGGCCTTGCATTGCTCCAGTCCCTTTGATTGGGAATTTGGTAGCGTCCTTTCCGAAATATATGCCTCACAGCATCCAGCATTGGCACCATCCTACTTTTTAACCATCCCGGCTTGTTCCGTCCCAGACCTACATCAACGAGTCCTCTTGCTCTGCTCTTCCTCCCTACCTGTACCCCTCACGTGTTTAACCCAAGTACCAATGCTAATCAAAATCAGCATGCGATATCTGTTACAATGAATTCGGCATCAGCAACCCGGAAGGCGAGGTCGAACAACCAACACGTTTGCCCAAGTGCAAGCACATTTTCGGTGATAAATGTATCAAGAAGTGGTTCGAAGACTCCAACAGCTGCCCTTACTGCCGGGATCAATTGCCTTCCCAGCTGGTTGGTAAGAGGGCAAGTGTGGACGCCAATATACGAGCTGTACAGCGAGAGCGCCTGAGACTGATAGCTCAGAGTCAGCAACGAGTCAGACAAGACGTGCCCCCGCACGTTGGCTTCTCTCCCGAAGACACTGCTATCAATTCAAGAAGGTCCGTTTCTTTCCGGTGTCTTATTGGGAAATGGAAGTGGCTGACTTTTGCAGGGCACCTACGTTTTCTGACGTCCCTGTTGCAAACCCTCATTTTCGTGGAACTCATGATGCTTATGAGTATGAGCAGCTAATGAGTAGACATTTGGATACGTGGGGTGCACATAGCGGCGCTGTTGGAAATCGACATGCTCAAGGCGAATCAACGACAGAACGAAGACGTCCTGGTCGAGGCAGACTTGGTAATGGGCGATCTGGTCATCTCGCAAGCCGACCAACATCGACCGGATCTGCCAGGTCCAGCATTCAGTCTTTCAGTTTTCAGGGCCCTCCAAGACCATACGCAACCGCAACGCCACAACTGCACCCGACTACTGCGCGGAGGCCACTAGCAGTTTACCGACCGGATTCCGCAAACGCACGAGCTCCGCAGACTCCACATTCTCAGGCATCCCACAACCACTCATCCCCAACTTCGAGTTCTCCCGAGGAAGCATCGCCTCCTGTGGCTGTTGGGTCTGGTCCTGCCGCTGCGCCGCGCCACGTTGGCGGTTCCCCAACTGCGTCCGGTGTTGGTCGGAGAGCCTCAGATACACAGGCAGGTAGGTATCAGGCGGCATCGTGGGACGAAGAAATGCGAGCCTATGAGGCTAACACCCCGACGAATGCACGTACTCCACCGCCAGTAGTCGCCGGAAACATTCCTGCTCGGGAAGGAGGCCAGCGGAACAGTGGCGCGGAGAACCCACCCGAAGCCGCGAACGTGCAGATACCGCCCCTTTTTCGGTGGTAGAGCTAATCTCCATCCTGGTACGAGCTACGGTACAATCTCTTCTCTACGTCTCTGAAACCAAGTCATTCCCCCCAAAATTGAATACAATCCCGAACTATGATACGCCCCCAGTCTTTCACCAGTTCAATGCAGGAGCACCGAATGTGGTGGCACGGCGTTGGGAACGGAGCTCAGGATTCTGCGTAGCTTGGTAATAATTTCCTGGTGGGGGTTCTTAATAGGACGAAGCGGATCTTCATGCGAGCATCACAAACTGCTTATACTCAAGACCAGTCCGGATTTTCCTGATGTTACTGGCTCGATACATCAGGCAGCGTAGCCTCGGAAATCGGAGAAAAAAAGAAGAAGAAAAAAACGACAATGAAATGAAGCATTATCAATCCTTTCTTTTGGGAGTGGGCTGGATTTTTCCTTTCAATGAGTTATTTTGACCCATCTAAAATCTGTCCAAATGAAAAGCTTGTGACGAGACTTCTATGTCCATTGATAAGTGCTTTCCCTCCTTCCGCACCCTGCGCACTCTTAGCGTCGTCGTCTTCCTAATCCCAAGAATTCGTAAAGAGCGAGGAACGCCAGTGCTCCAAAAAAACCCCCAATTGACAGGCCGATTGCCTTTACCGTCTTCGAGGCCGTGTGGAAGGAATTGGTGCTGGTGGTGTTGGCTGAGACATCGGGGTATGTGCTGGCTACAGATGAACAATTAGCAGAAAGCCCCGAGCAGTAGTGCAAAGGATGGAGGACGTACCTCTTTGCAGATTGTAGGGATCGGAAGCAACCGTTGGACTGTGGACCTCCATTTTGAGGCTGAAATATCCTGAGCAAGTCAGTAGAGTAATTGCTCTTTCGTATATCCTCAAGAGACGCCGGGGTAACGGGAAGAGTGGAGAGAATGGGCTTGAATTAAAAGGATTTCTATACCGATCTGTTGATTTCGATCTCTGACTTGTTCAGGTGAGGGAGGGTGAGGCCGACGTCGTCGAGGTTGAATGGGTAGGTAGTAAAAGTGAATGGATAAACAACACCCTACTTACGGTCCGGCTCGCTTAGAATGACGCTAAGTTCGCTTAAAGCAGGTACGGAAGAAAGCTATACCCTAAAACAGTTAGTTCATCATGTCACGCTAGTAGGATGCTGTGAATGGATGGAGTTCGCTTTTGGTATTGTGATAGAGTATGAGAATCATTTAGTTCCCATGCAAGAGCGGTCCACTGCGAATGGCACAATCTTAATCAAGTGTGGCCAAACGCTTCTTTGATATGAGCTCAGCACCAGCGGAGCCCTCTTTTTAGAAATCATCTAGCGTATAAGACAACTCTCTGTGCCTCTGTCTCCGGTCCCACAGAACTCAATGATACTTTTACGAAATGTTGCATTACACACCCGGAGAAGTTCAGAAGTTTTAGATTGTGCGTACTCCAAGAAAGCCTCTATCCACACAATACATATCTACAACTTCGCCCTATCCATCGAATCCTTCTTCGCCCTTTGTACATACTTCCAAGCCAGCTCACCCATCGAGTGCCTGGCCAATCCATGTAGCTTCGCCTTCGCACTACTCGCCTGTCTAACAGCATAGCGAGCTGCTATACCCTGGAGAATACAAGTTGTTCTGAAAAATCCAAAGGAGACTCCCCATGGCAAGTCAGGTGTTGGGTCCCAGCCGGCGACCTCGGCGTACCATCGCACAAGATCCTGTTCGGTGGGAAGACCTGCGGTAGCACCTTCCTTGAAAGAAGGGGTCGGGCTGTGGAGGGGTTGGTCTCTCAGGTAGTAAGGTGTGATGAGGTTGATGAGATCGGACAATGGGTGGCCGATTGTGGACATTTCCCAGCTAAGACGTTGTCAGGGTTCGTAAGTATACGAGAACAAGGAGTATTCTTACTCTAGAATCCCAATGACTCGGGGCTCGGTCTTGTGGAATACCAGGTTGTCGATCTTGTAGTCTCCATGAATTGGGTTCCCTCTGTCTTTCGGTTGGGACCTCTTGTCCTTGAAGAAATCCAGGATATCCTCGATATGTGGTATTTGCCCGACGGGTTCGTCTGTCTCGACATCCCTCGCTGCTGCCTGTGCTTTACTTATAGTGCCGAATGTTTTGATTTGGCGATCGTAGAAACCAGATGGCTTCCCAAAGTCCTCAAGTCCGATATCCTTGGGGTTGATGCGATGTAGTTTTGCCAATGTTCGCACCACGTCATGCCACCTGGAACCTTATCAGCTACCAGTCCAAAGCCAGAGCATTATTGCGCCTCTTGCTAGAGATACTCACATCTCACTCCTATCAACAGGCGTCACATCGGGCATAGTCGGATCCTCGATAATTCTCCCATCCAGGAACTCCATTATATAAAAGGGCGTTCCGACGATACCGTCATCTTCGCAGAGACAGTACGCAATGGGGACTGGGACGTCGGTCTTCTCCAAAGCGTGGATGACCCTGTATTCCCGTTCAACTTGATGGGCGGTTTTCGAAACCAGCTTTCCCGGGGGCTTCTTGCGCATCACATACTTCATTCCATCGCTGCCTGTCAGTTGGTATGTGGGATTCGATTGCCCAAAGCCGAACTACGTGGCTGGCTGTTAGCATCGTGGATGAGGGAGTGCTTCCGAGTTGGCTTACTTGCTTCACATCGATGGGAACCTTGATCTGAGGGACATTTTGGGCGATGTATCGCTCCAGCGATTGCACATCGATAGGCTGTCTTACGACACCGGCCATTGCGAGTAAGATAATGGAGAGGGCGTGGTTTTATTGCTTTCCAGCATCTTGAGTTGGGTTGAGGTGGGCAGGGCTACACGCAAGATACTTTGTGCTGCAACTTGTGAGCCTCGGCTCAATGTCGAAAGGGAGCTAGCGGGGATCGACGACGACACCCGGCAACCGAGGCCAGAAGGGAGGGAGAGAGATGAGGTAGAGGGAGGTTGGAAAAGACACCGAGAAGTATACAAATCTTATCGTCCTCGAACACTTTCCCTGTCCTCGCTCATCATAAAAGAACCGAAATGAATCTAGGTGGAAGCCATATGTAATGTGATTATTCTCAAACGAGAAAGTTCCCCTCCCAAACAGCAATTGTGGTCATGATAAGTACTTCCGCTATTTATGCGCTCTATGCTATCTATGCTATGTGTACAAAACCGCGCTTTTTCTTTCCTTCTGCCTCCCTTTCCCAAGTGTCCTCATCAACATAATCCTTGACTCCCTTCTCTGCCAATTGAGAACCCATGACCCGCAACGCCGCAAGATTGAACCCCATCTCATCCTTCTGCCTCTGCAGAGACTTCCGCAAATTCACCCTGATATCTTCCAGTACAGGTCTCATCGTCTTGCTCGCGACGATCTGACGATGATGAGTCCGGAGCATAAACAAGTGTATTCGACATGTCAGATAGATGTTCATCGACCTCGTGGCGAAAATATGGATGAAGGTGAACAGGCTGGGAAGCTTGGAGAAAGGCAGCACCAGTAGTGCATCTTGAAGTGCAGCAGCTTTGATGCCTTGTAGGACGTTCAGCACATGCTGCTCAGCGCTGATTCCTCCCAGAGCCATGTACAGAGGGTTCCGAGAGGGTGGCGCGATATTGGGCTGGGTTTGTTTTGCTAACTCCCACTCTCCTATCACCTCGAGGTCCGCCATTCCGAGATCGAGGGCCTCTAAAATCTTCTCTCCGGCCGTGAGCGTCTCGCTTGTCTGCTTTCCCACGTCTCCAAACTCGGCGTCATCGTCTTTGTCCTTCTCGGGCTCCAAGGAGGTCAAGAGGGTGTGTTCGTAGAGTTCCTCCAGCTCTTTTTCCTTCTCCTCCTCCAGGAATATTTGTTCGTCGGTCTGCTCCCACACTCGGATACTCTTGTCGTGACTTGCACTGACGAGAAAACTTCCAGTCTTGCTGACAGCCAGCGCCCAGATTTCACCGTGATGGCCATCAAGCCTTTGGATTTGCTCAAACTTGTCACCATCCCAATATCTGATCATCTTGTCCTTACTACTGCTAAAGAAATGATGCCCGTTGCCATCCTGGTTATGAGGAACGAATGCAACCTGGAGGATACTGTCTTGATGGGCGAAAAACGCCTTGTGGCAATCTCCGAATTCCAGACCCCAGAGCCGTACATTCTTATCAGCAGAACAAGTTACAATCAACTTGCTGTCGAAGGAGATGTCCATACTTAGAACAGGCAATTTGTGACCATATAAGTTTAGAAACAGCTTCAGGGAATCCACGAAAAACACTTTGACCGTGTTATCCAACAGCGCAACTGCAAGTAATCTCGAATCCGGAGAGAAGCGGACACTAAGAATTTGGTCAGAGACCTTCAAAGTTCGTTTATGGGCCAGTCTGAACCGCGGCGTGGTTCGTTTTGTCCCGGGAATTTCTTCCTGGACAACCTCAAAGTTCCAGAACTTGACGGTCTTGTCTGCACTTCCAGATACGATCGACCTTCCGTCTGGATGCACCTGCAATGACCATATCTCACCTTCGTGAGCATCTACTTTGTCGAGATTGGCAGCTGAAGCAATATCGTATAGTTCCAGCTCTCCAGACTTGGTTCCGACCACCACAATTTTGTCCCCGGGCACAAAAGCACAACATAAAGCGTAGCCACACTCGAATGTACGTATACAAGTTCTTGTCCGTACGTTCCAGATTTTCAGACCGCCGTTAGATGCCGACGCAAGCATTCTGTCGTCGGAGCTGAGTGCAAGTGATCGTATATCTGCTCTATGACCAGGCAAGTCAACAGCTAGTGATCTTGAATACTCTGGCATCTCCTCGCTCTTTTTCTCCTTCGTTTTCTCCTTGACTGAGACAGAGTAGACCTCTAGCTGGTTGTTGTTTGTCGCCGCTAGAAATTGTATCGGTTTTGAAGATTTGGTCTTGATCCAGTCTATGGATCGGACTTTACCACCCGTTCTGACAACCACATGAGAAACAAAAGTATCAGTTATCTCGGCTGTCAATAAATCTCCAGTCTCATCCGCATCCATCTTTTCACCCATAGCTGCGAGCTTCTCGCGCCTTCTCTTGCGCTTTCGCGTCAAGACCTTTTTGACTTCATCCTCGGATCGCATCCGCCAGACTTCAACTGCCTTTTCGGATCCATGGACAGCAAAGTAATCCTGGCGTGGGTGGAAACTGACTTCTAGCGCCTTGTCTTTAGCTTGACCACGAAGCACACCCCTGCTTTTCAAGAAGTGTTTCTCTACAACCTCGCTTGAGGCCGTCGAATATTCAGCCAGACCTGCGCTGTCGATAGACCATACCGTCAGTTCCCCACCATTGCCAGCAGTTATACAACCAGCTTCATCCGGCGATACACCTAGCGCCCAACACTCCCCATTGGATTGCGCGGTATGGGTTTCTATGCAATGCCGAGAGGCAACATCCCAGAGCTTTATAAGAGAATCCTTTCCAGTAGACAACAGGAAGCCTTCGGAAGCAGCAGGGTCCTGGAACGCAACAACGGCCGCTTCTCCATCCCCGTCCGCGATCTGTTGTGCCTTCGGTTGAATAAACTGGAGGCCTGTAATCTGATCCTTGTGGCCTCGTAACCTCACAATCCCTACTTCCGCAACCAGGTCCCATAGAATGATATCTGTATCCTTGGACCCACTCGCCAGCCTAGTTCCAGATTTGTCGAAGGCCAGGCATGTAACTGCGGATCGGTGTCCGTTGAAGCTGACGATAAGGGTTGCAATCTTGGAATCCCACAGGCGTATACTCCCGTCTTCGTAGCCGACAGCAAATATGTCCTTGTCTACCTTGCTCTGGGCGATGGCGGTAACTTGTGCCTTGCTGCTCTTGTCGGCCCAACGACTTAATAGTTCGCCCTTCTTGATGTCCCAGCATAGCACCTCCTCATTCGCAGCAGCGACCGCAATTCCAGTACTCCGCGCTGATTCGCACCACACGACATTGGAGGTACTAGAATTCACCAGCCCGAAGGTCCTCGAGTGTTCGTATTTCCTGTGTAGAATTCAGTTCAGTGGCAGTCGCGCCCGAGGCACGTAATCGGATCTTACAAATATGATTTGACCATCTTTACATCCTGTAGCCACAAGGTGCCAGGTGTGAATGTACGGTCTGGGTAGGGCAAGAAAGGAAGTCGAGGATTGTGGTTGTGCCCGGCGCAAAAATCCGGGTGACCTCGAACTTTTTTTCTGGGGATCCCGACAATATTTTCCGAGTGCTGGCGATAAGCTAGAATGCGTAGATCCTGGCACGGCTCTGGACAATTTAGCGCCACAAGTAGCCCCACGGCAGCTCGCTCGAGACCAGGCACCAAGCATCGTGGAAGAGCCTCCACGACAGGCCTGAATCCAGGACCAGGACCAAAGTCACGAAATCTTCTGTTGACCTGCCCACAATGCTTCTTCTCGACTACCAGAATGTTCTGATTCAATCAGTGCTCACAGAGCGTTTCTCGGGGTGATTCTGCTGCATCCCCCCTCCGTCTGTCGACCCCTCCACTGACCCATCTGCAAGTGCTGTCCCAGTAAACATCGACCAGACAGTCTCGGACTTTGACGGCGTCACTTTCCACATCTCCACCCCCGAATCGAAGTCGAAAATTGTTGTCTCCATACAAGTCAGATGTTACAATGAGCTATTGAAGTATGGGGCCCAACAAGTGCTGGAGCGCGAATATGGTCCATATGTCATTGCGCCTGAGAGCGGGTACAACTTCTCCGTGGAAGTCGACTTGGAGAATCTTCCTGAAGAGAAAGGTTAGTTGCTTCTGCGCACTCGGAATCACCGGAATGGTACTGATCCCGCAGACAGAGGCCAGAGACGACTTGATTCGACGGGTTTCTTTGATGAAGCGGAACGCTATGGCAGCCCCATTCGAGCATGCATTCGATGAACACCACAAGCTGGCGGAGGAGGCTGCCAAGTTCACTTCTGAAGAGGCACCCCAAGGTGTCCGGGAGGGTGGCGAAATGATGGCTATCCATTATCGCGACGAGGAAGCTATTTTTATTAAAGCCAGCCATGACAGAGTCACCGTCATTTTCAGTACCATATTCCGAGAGGAAACCGATAGGGTTTTTGGCAAGGTATTCATTCAAGAGTTCGTCGATGCGCGGAGAAGAGCGATTCAAAATGCTCCGCAAGTCTTATTCAGAACAGACCCGCCCTTAGAGCTCCAAAACGTCCCAGGTGTTAAGGATTCCGGAAATGGAGAGATCGGATATGTCACTTTTGGTCTGTGGAGCGATTGTGGCTGCGATCTACGGAAGCTGACTTGGAGCAGTTCTATTCCCAAGACACCTGACTCGTCAACGACGAGATGATGTTATCTCCCACATTCAAACATTCCGAGACTACTTCCACTATCACATCAAGGCCTCTAAGGTACTACTCCCACTTCGACACTTCGACTTTGCAATTTCTAACCAAATACAGGCATACATCCACTCCAGAATGCGCAGACGTACAGCCGATTTCTTGCAAGGCAAGTCTTGTTTGTCCCTCGGTCTTGCATGTTGCTAACTTCAGATAGTTCTACGTAGAGCACGCCCAGAGAATGAGGAGAAAGAGCGGAAGACCGCCAGCGGAAGAACTTTCAAGCAGGGTTGAACGAATGAATGATCATAATGAGACGTCCTAAAATACAAAACCTTTTGCAACTTCACTTTGGTTCACGCGATTGTCAACCAGAATGAGCAAAGAGGCCTTACTTGTGACGCCAAAACACCCAGATCCCTCAAAAATTACATGAAAAGCATCTCCATCAGACTTTTGGTACATTGTAGTCCGGTGCCGGAACTAACATGTAGTGAGTCTCAGAGTTATCCCGGACCTCGGTGATCACTCACTAGCCGTGGCTTGACTTTGTTTGCTGCCTTCTCTGCTTCATTTCTTTCCACTTTCGAGCTTTTTTGATTGTGAATTTCCATTGCCGTTTCGTCTCTGCCTCTTGCTCTTTTGGTGTGAGATGTCCAACGACTGCTGTGAGTCCCATTTGCTCTTTCATTGTTATGCTCATATCTGGAATTTTACGTTTTATCTTCACGGTGAGGAAGTCCCCTTTAAGCTGTAGATGCAAGATATTGCTCGGCAAGGGACCTGCTGGCATTTATCTGCTATTACGTCGCTGCCTTTCGATCCGCATGACCGAGGTTTGATCTACAAGTACATAGAGGGGTCTTCCTACCAAGCGAGGCTTAATGCTTCGAACTTTGACGGCATGGAAGTCCAAGGCACTCTTTGAGTATATCCCCCTCGGCACATATTTCTGCAAATCAATTATGGGGCAGTGGTCAGTGACCCTAAGATTACCTTCCAGAAGTGTGCTTTATTGTACGGGTACCATTACCGGATCTCAATTTGCACTCCTGGTCATCCAAGAATCTTCCGATTTTACATATTCTAGGATTATCAGTGACATATCATTATGTCGCCATGTTTTGTCGGGTAATGTCTGGCTAAGGGCTTTGATGGTTGTTGCTTCTTGTATCCGGATTGTCACTGGTAGCTCGTGGGGATGCCTCATACCAAGTAAGCATTCAGAAAATAACCTGGATGTAAACTTCTAATTGATTATATGAAATGTAGCTATTGGGATTCAGCAGCTAATGGTCGAAAGAGAGCTGAAAGATTCCTTGGAGCTTGCTATCGAAATCCATGAATCGGACGACTATGTATGACTCTCTAGCTACAAAGTAATGGAATTTTCAGATGTAGAGATTGAGCTAGATAACTATAAAAATTACTGCCTTTCCAAACACACTTTGTTCGGTCGAGTCTGGACTGTCGGTACCTTATGATCTGACTCATCTGAGACGCACGTGATATGCGGTTAAGCCGTATCCTGCCACTTCAAAATTGGCCTTGACATACGACACGCGACTCGATCCCGAGCCAACGTCAAACCCGAATCGCAAGCCAATATGTCCGACGCCGACTTCGATACGATTAGAAAGCTTCAGGCGGAGCGGAACCTCAGCTCTGCGGGTAAGAAGGGATCGAAGGCGTTTGACTCCTCGAATCAGCGAACTGATGGCTCTACCAAGGCGTTCCTGACGGAAAGCTTCGATACCACCATCTACGAACGCGATGGAGGTGACAAATTTGCTGGCTACAATACTTCTATTGCTGTGGCTGATGGGGACGATGATGAGGATATGGAAGGGGCAGAGGATAATAGCAGGCGGCTGGTCGGCCAGTATACAGCTACAAGCAGCCAGATGAACGAGTTCTCCCACGGAAATGGAGTAGAGGAAGAGGACATCCTTCTGGGTCGGGAGAAAAGCGCGCGAATCGCCGATCGCGAATCCGATTACCAGAAAAAACGGTTCAATCGAGCCCTCACCCCAACCAGAGCTGATCCTTTCGCAGCCGACAGACAAGCGAGCGACGCGGGAGATGGCGATAGCTATCGCGAGGTCATGGCGAGGAGGGAACTTGAGAAAGAGGAGGAGCGGGTCCAAAGAGCGATCGAGGAAAAGGCGGCAAACGGGGAAGGGGTTCACCACGAGGCTACGCTCAATAAAAATGGAAGTGGCTCACCACGCGATAAGGAGAACAGGGAAACTGGCTCTATGGATGTTGTCAGTGCTGGCCGCAAGAGAAAACAACGTTGGGATGTTGCCTCTGAACCCACGGAGACTGCTTCTCAACCCTCAGAGACGAAGACTAAGCGCTCAAGATGGGACCAAACACCAAGCATTGGAGGAATACCAGCTGTGGAAGAGACGCCCAGAAAGAGATCTCGCTGGGATCAAGCCCCTGCTGCAACACCTATTGGAAATCAGGGACTGGTTACTCCAATGCACCCTTCCCAGACTGGGGGCCCTGTTATGCCCAACGCATTCGGAACCGATATTTCAATGCGAAATGCCTGGCTATCAGACGAAGAACTGGATTTGATGCTACCAAGCGAAGGCTACAAGATTCTCGAGCCCCCGCCTGGATATGCACCCATTAGAACTGCCGCCCAAAAGCTCATGGCAACCCCGGCTCCAGCAACCGGCTCAGGTGGTTTCGGAGGATTCATGATGCAGGATCCGGACAGTGCAAGAACCGGTGGTAAACAGCTTCCTAACGAGATTCCTGGGGTTGGAGATCTTCAATTCTTCAAGGCCGAGGATATGGCCTACTTTGGCAAACTCACGGATGGAAGCGACGAGAACACCATGACAGTGGAGGAGCTAAAGGAGCGAAAAATTATGAGATTGCTATTGAAGGTTAAGAACGGCACCCCACCAATGCGTAAGACAGCCCTCCGTCAACTCACGGACAACGCTCGCCAATTTGGTGCTGGACCCCTTTTCAACCAAATTCTCCCGCTACTTATGGAGAAAACCTTGGAGGATCAAGAGAGACATTTGCTTGTGAAGGTCATTGATCGCGTGCTCTACAAGCTTGATGAGCTTGTTCGGCCTTACGTCCACAAGATTCTGGTCGTCATAGAACCATTGCTCATCGATCAAGACTACTATGCCAGAGTGGAAGGACGAGAAATCATTTCCAACCTCAGCAAAGCCGCTGGTCTTGCATACATGATTAGTACAATGCGACCGGATATCGATCACGTTGACGAATATGTTCGAAACACCACGGCAAGAGCGTTCGCTGTCGTCGCTTCCGCTCTTGGCATACCCGCCCTTCTTCCGTTCCTGAGAGCTGTGTGTCGAAGCAAGAAATCATGGCAAGCAAGACACACAGGAGTCAAGATCGTTCAGCAAATTCCTATTTTGATGGGCTGTGCAGTGCTCCCTCATCTCAAAGGCCTCGTTGATTGCATCGGTGGCTGCCTCAATGATGACCAGACTAAAGTACGAACTGTGACCAGTTTGGCTATCGCAGCGCTGGCTGAGGCCGCCAGCCCTTACGGTATCGAGAGCTTTGAGGACATTCTGCACCCCTTATGGACCGGAGCCAAGTGAGTCTTCCCTTCGTCTTCCCTCCATGTCAAGTCCGGGCAGTCACTGACATATACTCTAGGCGACAGCGCGGGAGAGGTCTTGCGGGTTTCCTCAAAGCTGTGGGGTACATTATACCTCTTATGGATGAAGAATTTGCCAACTACTACACTGGCCAAATCTTGGAAATTCTCTTACGGGAATTTTCATCCCCGGACGAGGAGATGAAAAAGGTGGTTCTGAAGGTGGTGTCTCAATGTTCCAGTACCGATGGGGTAACATCGGGTTATCTCAAAGAGAATCTTTTGGACGAGTTTTTTAAGTGCTTTTGGGTACGACGAATGGCGCTAGACAAGCGCAACTACCGTCAAGTTGTCGAGACCACGGTAGACCTGGGTCAGAAGGTTGGAGTCAGCGAGATCGTGGAAAGGATCGTGAACAACCTCAAAGATGAAAGCGAGGCTTATCGAAAAATGACCGTGGAGACCATTGAAAAAGTCGTTGCAAGCTTAGGGGCGGCTGACATAGGGGAGCGGTTGGAGGAACGTCTCATCGATGGAATCCTAGTTTCGTTCCAGGAGCAGAGTGTGGAAGATATCGTGATGCTGAACGGTTTTGGCACTGTCGTCAATGCATTGGGCACCCGGTGCAAGCAGTATCTTCCTCAAATCGTCAGCACCATTCTCTACCGCCTCAATAATAAATCCGCAACCGTTCGACAGCAATCCGCCGACCTGATCTCACGAATCGCTATGGTCATGAAGCAATGCGGCGAAGATGCGCTGATGGCCAAGTTGGGTGTTGTACTGTACGAATACCTTGGAGAAGAGTATCCTGAGGTTCTGGGGTCCATCCTCGGTGCTTTGCGGTCCATTGTTTCGGTCGTCGGCATCAATCAGATGCAACCACCAATCAAGGATCTCCTCCCACGCCTGACCCCTATCCTCCGAAATCGACACGAAAAGTGCCAGGAAAACTGCGTCGACTTGGTCGGACGGATTGCAGACCGTGGCCCCGAGAGTGTCAACGCACGCGAATGGATGCGAATCTGCTTTGAGCTGCTGGACATGTTGAAGGCTCACAAGAAGGGTATCCGAAGAGCAGCGAACAACACGTTCGGTTTCATCGCCAAGGCCATCGGTCCGCAGGATGTGTTGGCTACCCTCCTCAACAATCTCCGTGTGCAGGAACGTCAATCTCGAGTCTGCACAGCTGTTGCCATTGGTATCGTTGCGGAGACGTGTGCGCCGTTCACAGTTCTGCCGGCGCTCATGAACGAATACCGAGTGCCGGAACTGAACGTCCAGAACGGTGTTCTCAAGTCGCTTTCCTTCCTCTTCGAATACATTGGAGAAATGGCCAAAGACTACGTCTATGCTGTTACACCACTGCTCGAAGACGCTCTCATCGACCGTGACCAGGTCCATCGCCAAACGGCTGCCGCGGTCGTCAAGAGTTGCGCTCTCGGGGTCGTGGGTCTCGGATGCGAGGATGCGATGGTCCATCTCCTCAATCTCCTGTGGCCCAATCTGTTCGAGACGAGTCCCCATGTTATTGACCGCATCATCGAGGCTATTGAGGCTATCCGGATGGCGGTTGGGCCCGGAATCGTCATGAACTACATCTACGCCGGACTGATGCACCCAGCACGCAAGGTCCGGGAGCCTTACTGGAAGATCTACCGATCCACCTACGTCCAGGTGGCAGATGCCATGGTCCCTTACTACCCGAACTTGGATGACGAGAAGATGCACAGACCAGAGCTGGCAATCTTCATTTGAATGGGAGTGGGGGGGGGGGAGTATGGGACGGTATCCTTTGGGTGTACATTAGCAGGGCTCAAGTCAAGTGTATCATGCGGGAAGGGGGAGCAGTCTACGGGGAAGTGCAGGGAATCAAAGTATTATCTTCTCGCAGACGCTTACTGAAATTTTGCCAGTTTCTACGTGACCGCATGTGTAGCCGGGGTCTACGGCAGATGTGCTAGAGCTCAGAGCTTAGAGCTCTGGTTCTGGCCCGAGCCGGGGGACTTGAAAGTCACTGCTCGCTAGCCCGACGGACATGGACGCTGAGCGGTGGGGTCCAGGTAGGAAGATCCGAGAGGTAAGACTTGCCCTTTTCCCCGTACCTACTTTGTAGATCTGGGCTGGCTGGTCTGGCCTGGCTTGCCTGAGTCATCGGCCCCAGAGTGCAGAAAAGCCATTACCAGCTGAGTCAGAAAGACTCGAGGTACATATGCGTGAGGTAAGTCTGTCTTACTTACTTACCATCGTCTTCGTCCACCAGTCCACCAGTCCACCAGTCCACCAATGCCAGAACACAGCCCTGCATCAGAGAGGCACTGCTGGGCAGAATGGCGGTAACACACGTCTCTCTGCAAGACTACCGGTAGTCTATCGAGTCTCCTGCATACCTCCTCCGTCCTTCGTGCTCCCACGTCCGCACATTATCAGATCAACGCACCGCGCCTCTGCTTGCCATCCGAGATGCACATATCGGAAGCTGGCCTGATCGGTGGTCCACGACATGACGTTCCCAGCCACCGTCAAACCGCCCCATGATTTGACTCTTTCCACTTCGTACCGTCCGTCCGTTAGTCCGTCAGTCCCCGTCACACCCACGGGGGAGAGAAGAGAAGGCAACTCCTGCCCCTCCCAATAGAAGACTGTGTGTGCTCTAGGCAATGCAAGCAACCGATCACCCGGCCCGGCCTGCCGTGCCACCATCTCCGTACAAGGTGCAAGGTGCAAGGTACAAGGTATAAGGTACAACGAATGTACCAGGGACAACCGCGTCCCCGCGTCCCCGCATCCCCGCATCCGTCCGACCAGCAACAAGGCCGTCAAACCCAATCTCAACTGGGAAAGGTCCTGCCTGCGCACCGTACAGCCCTCGAGCTCGGCCTCGGCATCGCATCCAGCGTGGGTTCTTTGCAGCCCCAAAGCAAACCGGCGTACAGAGCGAGCGAACGCACTCGCTCTGTGTCCGCTGATTGCCGTGTGCGGGACGCTTAGCAGGACCTGGCGGATTCAAATCCATCTGCATTTGTTGACACGAAGCGAGCGGGCATTTCGTTCATTCCTCCGCTGAGTCTCTCATCTCGGCCCGGAGTCGACGGCACTGCCACCATTCCGCGTATCGATACGGTACTTGACGCATTCCTTCTTCTTCTTCTTCTTCTTCTTCCGTGCTTCCGTGCTGGAGGCGTACGGCACACACGCGTACTGTAGTCTTGCGTGCGTGCGTATTGCTGCTTCCGTCGGTCGGTCTGATCTTGCCCTGCTCTGCTCTGCCATGTCGTTCCTCCTTCTTTCCCAGAGGCATCCTCGCCTAGCGTCTTGTTCTTTCGGGCGGGGGGAAGGGGATTTTGGCAGCCGGGCTCAGCAGAACAAGGGTTTTGGGGGGGGGAGGGGGCAGTCTGAGTTGCTGTGCCCCTCGGGGGAGGGTAAAAAAAATTCTTTCCTTTTTTTTTTTTTTTTTGCAGTAAGGGGCTACGGCACATTGCTACGTACGCCCGCAGCCAAGCAAGCATCCTGCTCTCGACAGTATCTTTTCTTTTCTTTTCCCCTCCTCTCCTTTCTTTTCTTATATACGCATGTTCTTTTTTGCACTTTTTTACTCTTCAACCCCTATAC